TGAGCGAGGTTACTAGAAACCCAATTAACCCCCTCCCCAATCTCTGAATCCCCAACAATACTCAAATCCCCAAAAGGCTGATAACGCACTTGTAACGCCTCTGGTGTTTCGGGTGTCCATGGGCGACGGCGATTGCTTACCACATAAAAAAAATGTAATGTTTGCGTACGTTAACTATTTCTTGGAATAAAAAGCGATATGTTACGATGATAGTGATGATGCCTGGGTTTTCTAAGCGCCCGTTTTTCCTAGAATAAAATGAACACAATCTATTCAATGGCAGGTAAAACTTTGCTGTAATAAAATACAAGAGTAATAGCAGTCATTACTGTAAACAAGCAATTACGCTATTAAATATGCATAATATTATTCTTTGCACACAAAACATATTAAACTATATTAAATACTTTAGGTAACTATTACTTACGTAAGCAGTTACCTAACTATTGTTATTTTTTTTTTAAACGTTGCCCCACACTAGTATTTTCTCCTGTGTCGTGGGTGCGTTTACAAACATACAAGTTCACATACACATCACACCCAGACCCGAAACAACAATTTGTGGATCACACAAAGTGTTGTTCCGTGCGGGAATCGAACCCGCGACACGTTGCACGGCAGCCGGTTGCCCAGCCACCGCACCAACAGTGCAGTCAAATATTATATAGAGATTCCTCTCAGTAAATCAGTTTATCACACTCTCATTCACACGTTAAGATATTAATTCTAAGAACATATTGGGTATCAAAATAAAAACATCCAAAACTGGACATTCTGGCAAAAAAAAATTACACACAAATATCTTATGTTCTGAGAATCAACCTTTGTGCTTCTTCAATTAATCACAGTAGCAAAAAAATACTCCGAAATTAATACTACCGATTGTATGCTACATCTGTTTTGCATCATAGATGTTGTTATGGTTTATTATGTACGGTCAAAGGTCAAAAGTCAACTGCCACCGTAAGACTACTATCATTTTCATTCATTTATTTATTCATGAACAATTATTACATTGTGTTTGAATTTGTACAATACACCTATATTCTAAAAATTATACATGCAATAATTAGCCGTTACAATTAATAAAGTTAAATGTCATTCCCTGTACTTGTCAATTCATAATTAATTATAACAAAATAAAACAATAATACACAAAATATAATAAAATATAGTCATGTCATCCATAAAATAACAAAAAAAAAACACACAACAACAATTCCAATAAATTAAGTTATAATTCGTCAACATGATAAAGACACTTATTTAACAAGAACTGTCTAAGCTTATTCCGAAACTCGCCTTTATAAATAAGACCTTTTATTTCCGTTGGCAGTTTATTAAACAGCTTTAACGACTTGTGGTAGGAACTATGCTTTGCAACGTTTAGGTGAGTCACTTGCTTCAACTGAAGATCTTTCCTTCTTGTGCTCTCCCTTCTTTGTCTTTCATCCTCAGTCTCATATTCAAAGATGTACCTAGACAAATGGGTAAGCAGGACCAAAATGTATAAACTTGGGACTGTCAGTATATTCAATTCATTGAAATGAGGCTTACATGATTCTTGCTGCTGTATTCCAACCATAGTCCTGACTGCCCTTTTTTGTATTACAAATGCTTTCTGTATATTGTAGTCATAGCTTCCACCCCAGAAAAGTATGCTGTATCTTAGCCTTGACTCCACCAATGCGTAATACACCATTTTTAAATATTTTATTGTCACATCGTTTCTGAGACTTCTAAGCACGTAACAGGCAGGGCTAATCACTTTCTCAAGGTATTTTAGCTCCTCCTTCCACCTCAACTGGCTATCAATATAAACTCCCAGAAACTTAACCACCTCTACCACGTTTACTTTTTCTCCATTAATGGCACAGTTAATGCTATCCTTATTTTTGGAAGTAGATCGAAACAGCATGACATTAGTTTTACTGGCATTAATTTTGAGACCGTTGACAGCAAACCAACTGTGGAAGATATCTAAGACTTGATTAACAATGCAATCAAGAGTGCGTATACTGTCAGCCGAAACAACAGCGTTAGTATCATCGGCAAACACCACAAGCTCTATAGATCCTGCAGCATTCTGCATCATATGTTGTATCAGGTCATCAACAAACATGATAAAGAATATCGGACCCAGTATGGAGCCCTGTGGTACGCCAGTGTGCACAGGTGCCAATTTAGATTTGTATGTTTCTTCAGTTAGACAGTTATTGCCTGAGGAATTTGTCCCTAACATCTCTGCTTTGATCTCTACGAACATCTTCCTGTTCTTTAAGTATGATGAAAGAAGAGCCAGCACCTTACCCCTGACACCGTAGTGTTCAAGTTTTTCTAGCAATAGTTTATGATCCACTGTATCAAATGCTGAACTTAAATCTAAGAAAAGCCCAGCTACTTTCTGTTTATTATCTAATCTACTCACTACGTCCTTAATCAGAGTCGATATTGCGTCTTGTGTCCCGACGTTTTTCTGATAACCAAATTGTTTTCTATTTATCACCCCATTTTGGTAGAAATGTTTAAGTAATCTAGACTTAATTAGCTTTTCAAAAATTTTTGAGTGAGTAGGTAGTAATGAGATTGGTCTGTACATCTTTGGATCCGCTTTAGAACCTTTTTTGTGTACAGGTATTATTTTGGCTATCTTCAGTTGATCTGGAAAAATTCCTTCATCAAAACATTTGTTGTAAAAAATGCTTAACGGTACCGCCAGTATATCTATATTATCCTTTATTACTGATATTTTTATGTCATCATAGCCGCAAGATTTTTTGTCGTCCATATTTTTCGTTATTTTAAATATCTCACGGGGAGTGACAGGGTCAAAGATCAGGTCATTAGTTACTCTTTTTGCACTCCTATGCAGAATATCCATGGCAGCTCCTGTGCTTGCGGTGGCTGATGAATTAATTTGGAACTGTTGAGACAAGATATTTACAATATCTGATGGTTCTGACACAATTTTATTGTTGGATTTTAAGATAATTTTTTTATTGTTCTTTACATTCTTATTCCTATGCTTGTTTACCACTTTCCAAATATCCCTTGCAATGTTCGTCGACTTTGATAATTCATATTGTACTGATAACTTTTTGGCCATATTTATCACTTTTCTGTACAGAACTATGTATTTTTGTCGATAGTCCATCACAGTGTCACTTTGCCCATTCCCTTTGCCAGTACATAGAAATCGTTTCATCTTGCTTGAAACCTTCACACCCTTTGTGACCCAACGTAGTTGCGCTTTACGCGTTAAGCGCACCTGCATTTTTCTTTTCTTAAAACAGCGTGTAAACATTTCTTCGAATTGTTTCAAAAAAGAGTTTATTCCGAAATCACTCCAGTCATGATTTAGTAGCAAATTTCTAAAGTTATTTCTTGTATTTACACTGAAAATACGCTTGGTTATATGAATATTACTAGTCTTTTTATTCCTACATAGTTCCTTAGTTCTGAAAGCTGTATTGCAAAGCAGTCCCGCATGTCCGTCTGCCAATCCGTTATGATCGACATCACAACTTATCACACATTCATCTGACAAATTAGTAAAGACATTGTCAATACAAGATTGTGAGTCATTTCGAAAAAACGTGGTCAACTTAATTAAAGGTCTGAAGTTATAACATGTCAATAGATTTAATAAGTCATTCCTTTTTTTATTGTCAGTTAATAAGTCAATATTGAAATCACCACAGATAATACAGTTCTTGTTAAAGAAATGTTCTAATAATTTTTCAAGACTAACCATAAAATTGTCTAGGTTTTTATCATAAGGAGTACGATAACAGCAACACACAGACACGCCAGTCAAAATATCTTTAACACAGCATATTTCAAAACTATCCATTTTGTACAATTTTTTGCCTATGGGTAGCTCATCATATTCCCTACCCGATTCTACTAGGATTATAGTACCACCTCTTAGCTTATTTACTCTGGTATTATATGATGCAACATTATATTTTGTAAGATTTAGTAATTGAACTAATTCTGCGTTAAGAAAATGCTCACTAATACACAAATAATGTGAAGGGTTTCTCAAACTCTCTAAATACATTTCCAATTCATCTTTCTTATTATTTAGGCCACACATATTTTGATGAAAGATATTTAAACAATTGCACAGTGAATTTTCTGCTGATTCGTTTAGATTTACTATATTTTTAACGTGGTTATTTACGAAAAAATGTATTTCTATCCAACATTATCTTCTTTTTAAAGTAGTAAGGAATGGTACCAGGTTGTAACTGTATTTTAGTAATTTTTGTAGTTGTTTCAGTACAAGATCGTTCATTATTTACTATTGGCTGTTTTGTGAAAGTTGATGTGTGGTGTGTGTCTGTTTGCATAGATTTTTCATCGTTAACTGTGCCGTATATCTTTATATCGATTTTTATATTCTCCATGATATTGTTGTACAAAGTTTTTATACCTTTTGTATTAATCTGGCCGGTTTTACTTGTGAACATATCATAAGCTAAGTAACTGTTTGAGTCAAAGTAATATGCATCATATATGTATCATATCGGTTGCGCTGCAGCGCTTATGCACACATACACACGCATATTTTTATCCGTGTGCGTACGCGTGCGTGTGTTATGCGTACGCACGCATTTTTATGCACATTAATATGAAATTACTGCCATGTAGACATCACTCACGGTGGCAGTGGACTTTTGACCTCTGACTATACCTATGTGTGTGAGGAACAATATTTTAATGTCATTAGGCACAGTAAAGCTCTATATCGTTTGTCATATATCGAAAAAAAATCTGGAGCACACACTGTACACCAAAAAAAACATACCAAGAAAGGTCTGTTTTTTTTCTCCATCCTAAATTCCTCTTGTTTTGGGAGACCACGTATGACTACCGTGATGACCACGTTTACTAATGAGTGATGCGTTAGCACGGTGACTGAACCCAAAAAAAACTATATCCCTGATCCGTAAGTACAACTTCATAAATAATCACCCGAAAATTTTTAATTCCAGTCAAAGACAAGACGACATTCAAGGCGTTTCGCATTTCCCTCAACGTGATGCTGTCCCAGGAAACCTGTGGTTACCTGGTGGTGCTCATGTATGCTGGCTCCATCTTTGAGCAGGCTTCGGAGTCCATCAGCCTGAAACTGAGCCCCAATAAGCAAACTATCGTTGTGGGGGTTATCCAGTTACTGGGAAGTATCGTCGCTAGCTGTATTGTGGAGCAGACTGGGCGAAAGGTGAGATAATCTTTTTATGGTTATTTCTGTAGTGGAATGTTACTCTGTTATAATTTCTTCGAATGCTAGAGTAACTATTCCTATTTCCATTCGAGCTTCATCAAGACTCTTTTATTTTATTTATTTATTTATTTTATTTATTAACACTTCTGTATAGCAAACATACGATGGCGGACTTAATGCCGGGTGGCATTCTCTAACAGTCAACCATGGGGTGATGCAGAGATGTGCAACAGTAGGCGTATAGGTATAATGGTTTATGTGACACAGAAAAATCTATATAAATAAATTCATGATTATACATAACTGTAAATACATACATATATCCGTATAATATATAGGTATAATATAAATTACATAAGATACATTATCAATATTACTAGATAACAATACTATAAAAGTAAATAAATAAATTGGGAATAAAACTACATATAATATATATTTATATACATATATATTAAATACAATCGCCAAAATGATAAATTAAGTACGTGATGCGTCTGTCTGTTCCCTCTGCAATAGCTCACGAACCTTAACTTTAAAACTAAGCCGGCTGGTTGCCGTCCTGACACCCGTGGGCAGCGCATTCCACAGCAGAATGGATTGGACAAAGAATGAAGAGTGAAGGAAGTCGGTACGGTGTGTGGGACATTGTAGAAGAAGATTATTAGTGGAACGAAGATACTTGCTGTGGTTTGCACTTATGAACTTTTAAAGTCTTGATTGTATGAGTATTACAAAATAAAATATCTAATCTATTTTTAAATTACATCACTGAAATATCTGAAACCCGACGCTCAGCAGCAAAATACCGACTAAAAATCGAGGTCCCATTTTCTCACTGCAAAACCTATAACCCGAAAATCGGACATATCCAAATTCACGTAACTTATCTTATTGGGATTTATTCAAAAACTCCTTTAACAAATTCCTCTTTATTTGTTCCAGTGGCTTCTAGCAGGCACCTCCTTAGCAACAGGGCTATCAATGCTGGCATTAGGAGCCTGGTTCTACATCACATCCATGAACATCTGGCTGCCTGGCTGGCTGCCAGTCCTCGCTATGTGTCTCTGCATCTTCGCTGATGCTGCAGGGTACCAACCAGTGCCTTACGTGATTACTTCTGAACTGTTCTCTTTCCAGGTAAATACTTATTTCTACTTCATTTGCATCTTAACTGAACACGATGTCATTATTTGACATGGAGCTTAGATAATATTTTACTGTAGATAACACTAAGTACCATCCTAACTCGAATACTTAATTGAATAAGAATTCAACTAAGTTCTTAGGAATAGTTAAAGGGATAAAAATAAAAGGCCTTTCTGATAACATTTGCATTGAGCATTCCCATAGCCTAGGGGCCTTTGGGAGTCGCGGAGAACCTAACGGGTTACCGCGGCTCCGGCTCGACGTGCAGGAGAAGGAACGGGGTGGTTTTTAGTCAGTAAGAGTCTGACACTCCCTTCCGCCTCACCCAGGCGGGAGCAGTCATTCGATGATTTTCCCCCCTTAAAAAAAAGGGTCCTTTGGGAAAATAAACAGAAAGTAAATTGACTAAATGCTTACAAAATAACATTCGTTGTTAGTAAATTCTAATGAGTCATCCGCCATGATCGAAACGACCTAATTTAGAACTTCACTTAACATAATAAAAATCTCTTCCAGCACCGAGGCATGGTGACATCCTTCGTCAGCTCCGTGGATGCTCTCAGCGACTTTCTCCAAACAAAAGCCTACGACCCGCTCCTTAAACTCCTGGGAATCCATTGGGTCTTCATCATGTTCTCCATAGTTTGCTTCCTGGGAACTTTCTATACAGTCATGTGGGTTCCAGAAACTAAAGACAAGACTGTAGAAGAAATATACGCACTCTTAGAAGACAGCAGAAAGAAAGAGAAGAGGAAAGGGATGAAAATAATAATGAAAGAGATGGAAGATCTGGAGTGTGGGAAAGAGATGAGTAGATTATAAGTTTTTATTGGGGTGTTGTCGAATTGATGGATTTGTTATTGGGGTGTTCCAAAACGATATTTAAGGTTTTTCCATGTGGTATATCTGTATCTATTAGGTTTTTTGAAGGTTAGAGAAAAAAGCCGTAGATAAATGAAAGTAATTTATTCTTTGTAATATCAATTTGTATTGGATCTGGACAAAAACAGTAAACGTCTTTATTATATTTCACTGTATAATCTATTTGGTGAAAATTTAATTGTAATATGTTATTGCAAATTGAACGTATAGTAGGAATAACGTAATTGTGTACATTATATGTATAAACGTTTTGATTGATGTAGCTATTTTTTCTTGTTCAATGGAATTTTGTAACATAAAATTATTACTTAAACACTTTAGAAATTTATAATACGGTTTTATGCCAAAATAAAGAAAACAAATTTAATAAAATTAGAAACATAATTAAATATGAAAACTAAAAAATGGGACAACCTAAGTACCTAGATGTCGATGTACTTAAATATTAAAGTGCGCAAAATCCATCAATTCGACAATCATCTTTGAAATAATGTACAAAAGATTCATTTTATTTTGAACCAATCCACGATAAAAAAAACAGTGAATTTTTTTGTACATAACGGTGATTCTCAAACAACCAATCTTCCTGTTCATCGACTTTGCACTCTATTATTTAAAGCGATGGTGTTTTTTCGAGTGTGCAGGAAGATAGTGATATGTGCCTCCCGACTACCGATTGTGATATTATGACGAATTAGTAACGTTTAATAATTTGGTATTATTAGTAATAAGATGTCTATATGACGTTAAAAGACAATAATTTATATGAAAATGTTGTTTTGTTTTATTTTTTACCATAGTACTCTGAACCATGTGGTCATATTTGCTAATTATAATATTGTAGGAGTACCAGTGACAGTACGGAGGCATTTCATCCTTACTAATATTATAAATCGGAAAGTGAGTTTGTTTGTTTGTTCCTCTTTCACGCCGTAACTACTAAACCGATTGCTTTGAATTTTTGCAGACGTAAAGTTAGAAGTTCGGATTAGATAATGGGGTACTTTTTATCCCGGAATAATTTGATATTCCCGAGGGAAAAGAAAAGTATTGGTATAGATGGCGCTGTATGTATTGGTATATATCACATAGGCTACTTTTTATCCTTTTGTGACGCGAGCGAAGTCGCGGGTAAAAGCTAGTACTTTATAATAGGGTAATTTTGAACTGGCGTACATCGCACTCGTATGCTTTCTAACTAACGATACGTCAGCCTTGCATACGTCGCTCCAGTGAACTTTCGAACTGGCGTACATCGAGATCCTGTACTTAAGAACTAACATAGGTACGTTGACATTTCAAACTTCGACATTCAGTAGCGGTATCATCAATTGAATATGGCAATCCACTGTTAGAAACCTCTTCCATCATCAAAAAATAGGCCTCCCCCAATAGCTTCCAGGTCGGCCGGCTGGAAGCGACCTGTATTCAGCTAACCTTAGATTGTCTGTTGCCCTAGTGCTTGCTAGTGGCCATACAGGAAGAAATACTCTAGCCAATTTAAAAAAAACACCAATCAATATACGTTCTACAATAAATAATAAAATTACCACCATCCGGTAATTCGCTTACGATTTTATATTATTTCACAATTTTAAATAAATAAAACATAAAAACGGCAATCTCGAAGGAACGGCTCGAGAGCCATAAAATATATAGTTTATATATCGTTCCTATGTATTTACACTTATAATATATGTAGGTACACGTTATATATTTAAAAATGTCGAGTATATTTTTATGTTTGTTAACGCTAACTATTATTTATACTGTAAATGGAAAACTTGACAATGATATAAATTTTGGTAAGTTTTAATTTGATGAACTCAGTTTTCGTAATCTCACTATTACCTAATCTGAAAATTATAATAAAGGTCAGACAGAGAACTTTGAAATTTGCCATAACTTAGTGTGGGTGAGCCACGCTTCGGCACGAATGGGCCGGCTCGACCGGAGTGATACCACGGCCTCACAGAAAACCAACGTGAAACAATGCTTGCGTTGTGTTTCGTCGTGTAAGCGAGGTTACCGCAGGCCCAATTATTATATCCCCCCTGCCCTCAATTACCCCCCTCTCCCTTCCCCCAATCTCCCCAATCCCTGAATCCCCAACAATCCCTAAAAGGCGGTAACGCACTTGTAACGGCTTACTCTTGAATCCAATTCCGATCGATCGATATTGGTATTGTGAAATTTCGTACTCTTGAGTTGCAACACTAGCGCCCATTGCATCCGTATTGCGTGGATATTGAATGAACTAAATGGTATTGAGTTTGTCTTTATATTCCGTACTTTGAATGCTGTTTTAACAGCTACGATTTTGGTTGTATAGTTTTGACATTGAATAATTATTGAGATTATATTGGATTGAAATTGCATTGACATTGAAATTGGTTTCAAGAGTAAGCGCCCAGGTTCACTCGTTTACTGATTTATCCCATAAAAATGACGAACGACAGAGGCTGGATTAAAAGCCTTCTTAACAAAGAGGGATTTTACCATAATCCCCACGCATGGCGGGTTGGACATCGTAGTTTAAAAAGACCAGCTTTATCAGAAAGAGCTGCTATCATATAGTCTTAATCAGCTCTTACAATACTCTGTAACTCTGCCGTTAATATATTTTACGTTTACGAACGTAAAATGAGAAATACTTTATATATATATATTTACTTTTACTAATATATGAAGCTGAAGCGTTGGTTTGTCTGAACTCGCTTATATCAGGAACAACTAGTTCGAATTGAATAATTCCTTTTGTTTTGTATAGTTTACTAGCTACTTCTGCGTGGTTTCACTCGCTCTGCTCGGCGCCTATTAATCGTAGCGTGATATTTTATAGCCTATAGCCTTCCTCGATAAATGGGCTATCCAACACAGAAAGAATTTTCCAAATCGGATCAGTAGTTTCGGAGATTAGCGCGTTCAAACAAACAAACTCTTCTGCTTTATAATATTATAGAATAGATTTATCGAAGAAGGCTGTCCAGGCTATAAAATACCATGCTACGATTCCATCGGAGACGAGCAGCAGGGGATATAGCGTAGTTAATAGAATAAAATAACGCTTTACTTAAAATAAAATTGGGTTTAGATGAGAACAGACGCCATCAATCACATTCGATGAGACATATACGCCGGCGGGGTCACCATCACAAACCAGGACTACGTATCAGGAATGAGCACCAAGTCTACATTACGGAGCCGAAGACTAACCTGAGGATTAGAGGTGGCAATGCGACTGATACAAAGAACTTCCCCTACATGGCTGCCATTATAATCAATGGTAGATTGTGGTGTGCTGGTACCATTGTTGATGTCAACTGGGTGGTTACTGCTGCTCATTGCTTGAACTAGTAAGTGTTGAGGAGTTTGTAAGGTTTAGATTATTAGATGACTTGCAAGAGAAGTGTGTTCTGCCTTTCAAGAAGGTGGTATCGCATCTTGGGGTTTTGGTCTTTGCGACGTCAGAGGAGTTTCATAAGTGACGTTAATCGCTTTCCAGCTTGCGATTACATGCTGATAATTACAAAATCGAATATACCACAAGATAACTTTTTATAGGAATTTGATTTTGTATAGGAAATATGTATATAGGCATATATTGTTCGAAACTGCTCGTTGGCCGAGTGGTCGCAAGTGCGACTCGGGGTCTCGGGTTCGATTCCCAAGTCGTCCAAAGCCTTACAGGGTTTTTAAAAAAAATCTCAGTAGTAGCACGGAGTTTGGAATTGTGCCCGGTATATGGCAATAGACTTACCCCCTATTACATGGGACTCATAACATAAGTAGTGAAAAGTGGGCTTTAAATTCTATAGTGGCATTAAATGAAGTGTCGTAATGTACACCTCTGCCTACCCCTTCGGGGATGAAAGGCGTGATGTTATGTTATATGTTATTCTCCGAAAATGTTACTCGAAGTTAAAATACACACACATACACGCCTAGTTAGTCACATAGACACATAGTCGCCTAGTAGCCAACTGAGTTTTTTTGTCGATCTCTGGGATGAGATGAGACCTTTACAATAAGAAAGTAAGCCAGAAATTAAAGAAATTGATAACCTAATAACGTTCTTTCTAATCCGTAAAAGGCACAGTGGGTAGCATATCAATCTACTCTATTCAGTTAAATTTCTTTATTAGATTTTCAACTCTACTGTTTAGACATAAAGTCAAAATCCAATGACAAACATTTACACTGACATTGAAGTAAGCTGTTATGCTGGCTCCATCATTTACATTACTAAAGAAATAATAAAATCACATTTAACAAAGGCCCGCTTGACCCCACAGTGTCCTCCACGTATCCCCACTAAAAACATTGGGGCAGTATGTGAAAGTGCGTGTAGGCAGTTCTAGACCCCACGAGGGGGGCACCCTGGTCGACGTAGCCGGTGCTGTACGGCACCCCAAGTTTGAAGAGGAACCTGTACCTCACGCTGATGTGGCCTTATTGAAACTTGCTGAGAACATTGGTTAGTAGATTATTTCTTAATTTTACAAATAATTGTTGGTTCGTATTTGGAATTTTGCTCCTAAAGACCATATGATTTTTTTTAAATTTAGACATTGTCCCACATTAGGCTTTTCTCCTGTGTCGTGGGTGCGTTTAGAAACATACAAGTTCACATGCACATGACACCCAATAAAATTTTTTTTATAGGTAAAGCGGCATCGTCATCAGGAAGATAGACTAAATTGTTCTTGTTAAATATTACGGCGACTAGTTTCAAGTCAAAGCATTTATTTCAGTAAATCTATAATTAAGCTCTTTTGAAACGTCAAAATTGAATTGTCTGTTCGTCTGTCAGTGAAACTAAGGGCTCGTTCCAAAGTGTCAGTGCAGAAGAACGAGCAAGGAACTCCATCGTTAGGGATCGATTGTTTACCGATCGATATATCGATATATCGCATCGTTTATATTATTGCGCGACACACGACGCGATGCGGCAAATGTAGTGCAGCTGACTGACGCGAAGTCAGACAGCGCCTACCGTGGCTTGAAATTAGTCAAGCTTTGTCAAGTTCTTAAACATAATTAAGCTCATAAAAACTAAATATTTCACTACATATTGCATATACTCAGGAAAAATGTTACGTTTGTTGTAGAGTTCCACAGACACGTGAGCCTGCTGAAGATCTATGAAGGTATCAAGGAGCCATTCGCGCAGAGCTTCGTGGTCGTCACTGGCTGGGGAGCTACAAAAGTATTCTTTTTTAATAATATGTATTATGTAATCCATTTTAGAGAGATTTAGTCTTCTGGTGAAGCTCAAAGTCGCTCAGCGTGCGATGGAGAGAGCTATGCTCGGGGTTTCTTTGCGCGACAAAATCCGAAATATGGAAATTCGCCAAAGAACAAGAGTTACCGACATAACTCGCAAAATCTGCAGACTAAAGTGGCAATGGGCAGGCCACGTCGCTCGAAGGATTGACGGCAGATGGGCCAGGAAATTCCTTGAGTGGAGACCACGGACCGGAAGACGAAGCGTGGGCAGGCCTCCCGCTAGGTGGACCGACGACATCGCCAGAGTTGCGGGGAGCCAGTGGAGGCGAGTTGTCGTTCGACGTGGAGAGCTAAGGGGGAGGCCTTTGTCCAGCAGTGGACGTCTTCCGGCTGTTGATGATGATGATGAATCCATTTTATACGACTACTAGCGGCTCTATACATATAGTTTCTTTTCCTGTTTGACACATTACGTCGCTATCTCAGTTATGCACCGCTCTTAAAGAAATTATTTTATTAAATGGAACGTAAGGCGAATTTAATACCATAATGCATTCTCTACCAGCCAACCTTAGAGTTTAAGTAGAAAATCCTCGAAAATAAGGTATTGAGAACAGTTTAACATTATCTACCTACTTTACTACTATCTCCTTTATTATCTACTAGCTTTTACCCGCGGCTTCGCTCGCGTCACAAAAGGATAAAAAGTAGCCTATGTAACATACACCAATACATACAGCGCCATCTTTACCAATACTTTTGTTTTCCCTCGGGAATATCAAACTTTTTCGGGATAAAAAGTACCCTATTATTTAATCCAGACTACTAACTTTACGTCTGCAAAAATTCAATGCAATCGGTTTAGTAGTTACGGCGTGAAGTCGGAACAAACAAACTCACTTTCCGATTTATAATATTAGTAAGGATTTATCTAGCTTAAGCTGCCTTTCTTGCAGGGTACAGACACAGCCTTCAGAGAACACACGCCTGACCTGATGACGGGCAGGCTGAAGGTGCGGTCGCAGCACTACTGCATAGATGCCTACCAGCTGGTCAATGGATTCCAGTTCACTCAAGACTTCTTCTGTGCCTCGTTGAGGAACGGCACCAGGGATGCTTGCTTGGTAAGCATTCACAATTTAAATTTTAAATGTAGGAGAGCGACTGTGCTTCGTGCGAATGGGCCCGCTCGGCTGGAGGATACCACGGTCACACTCATAGTAAACTAAGTCAATTTACGACGGACCCATAAGAGTCAAGGATCAAAAATCTTCGAGTCATCAATGATTTATTTATTTATTTATTTTACATAAGTACAGATACAGACGACAGATTGAAATCGTACACAACAATCTTAATTATAAATAGTGAGCGAACCTGAAGTCCAATTACAACTGCACATAATCCATTGATATCAAATTACATAAACAATTCCCAAGTGTTAATCCATTTTTCTGTAATAAATTTTGTTCAATTTTTGAAAACTAAAAATTACTAAAAAGGTGATAAAGAGAATGATGATAATGATGAAATTACTAGAATGATGGATGACATATTTAAGTATCTTGTCATCAATTATGCAATGGATCGTTAACAAAAGATTTAAAATAACAATACTATTTGTCAATTTTCACAACAACCAATACAGGGCCTGACAAATGAGCCATTCTAAATCATATAACCGCAACACGTTGCTTACAGTTCGACGCAGGCGCTCCGGCGGTACAGCAGAACAGATTGATGGGTATCATGAGCTTCGGGCCTGAACGCTGTGGACATGAGTTCCAGCCAGCTGTCTTTATCAAGGCATTCTACTTTAGGTATGTAGAAAACCCCTTATAGTATGTTGATGTTTTTAAAGAGGATATAGGTAATTTTTTTATGGAATAGGAGGCAAACGAGCAGACGGATCACCTGATGGTAAGCGATCAGCGCCGCCCATGGACACCCGCAACACCAGAGGAGTAACAGGTGCGTTACGGGCCTTTTAAAAAGGAATACGCTCTTTTCTTGAAGATTTGAAGGTCATATCGGTTCGGAAATACCGCCGAAGAAAATTTTGAAGGTATCCCCAAATTGATAGACTTTGAGAGAACCGCATTGTTGGTCACAAAATGTCACTGGTTCTATATTGACACTGACAACATTATATCTAAACAGAACCAATACACATAACATAACATCATGCCTTTTATCCCCGAAGGGATAGGCAGAGGTGCACATTTAGGCCCTTAATGCCCAGTAGCATTGTACAGTTACAATGTAACACCTACTTTTCACTATTTATGATAAGAGTCCTATGTAATAGAGGGTGAGCCTATTGCCATATACTGGGCACAATTCCAGACAGACGTGCTACTACTGAGATTTTTTTAAAAACCCAGTAATACTTTACCCGACCCGGGAATCGAAACCGAGACCCCTTGCCCCCCAGTCCCACTTGGGACCACTCGGTCAACGAGGCAGTCCAAAAAACAAAACCAATACACATAAAATAAAACATATTCCAGAGACTTCGTAAAATCAACAATAGCTTCATACAAGACGACGGCTGAGCTGATAGATGCCGTGCAGGAGATCGACCCGAGCTTGCAACAACATGAAACGCTGCACGAGGGTGTACCACAAGAAGTGCCGGAGAAGTTAAGGGACGATGTCAGAAACGCCTGGGAGGCGGCCACTGAGCCCGATGTAAAGCACGATTAATATTAGTAGCATCCATAAATTAAGGTATGGGAAACATCGCGACATCTTACCAATGAGAAATGGAAGTCATCATGACATTAATGGACGACTCGTTTTTGAATAAAATGGTTTCTTTCTTTGTCCAAACTGTGCCTAATTCCTTCAAAGTTAATTCTTCGAAATTAAACATTTTAGGAGTGGATTTATGACTTTAGTTACAGTATGGCCTTTCTGTCTAAGACCTAGATCGATCCAGGGATATTGAATGAAGATTTGTTATTAGAATTAGAAATTTATTTGCAGAAACATGTGATGCAAAGGATCTTAGTGTAATTTTTAACAATGCAATGTATATTCCACCTGTTCCAGGCATGCAAATATTTGTTTATTACATTTTTTATAACATAAGCTGGTAAACGAGCAGACTGATCACCTGATGGTAAGCAATCGGCATCGCCCATGGACACCTGGAACACCAAGACGTTACAAGTGCGTTACTGGTCTTTTGGGTATTGGGAATTTGAGGATTGTGGAGGATTCGGGAGACTGGGGAGACTGGGGAGGGAGTAATTGGGCCTCCGGTAACCTAACTCACACGACGAAACACAACGCAAGCGTTGTTACACGTCGGTTTTCTGTGAGGCCGTGGTATCACTCCGGTACATACATACAATATAGATCCAATTCAATCACAATCTCATAAGATTTGATGCCTTAGTAGTTTGCAAAATAAAGTAGTTATTCGCTATTAATTTTTGTTAAGTAATGTCAAGATTAATGACAACAGACGTCGCGGTAGGCCCAGAAGGAGATGGTGGGATGAACTTAACGCCTATAAAAATATTTAGCCACAGAAAGCTCTAAGCAGAGATGAGTGGAAGGAACTTAGGGAGGCATTTGCCCTGCAGTAGGACGACAATGCTTGAAAATAAATCAATAATGTCAAGATGACGATTCCAAAATATCAAATTACAAATTTCAAATACAGTCTTTACCTATGTCTTTGAAATTAAATGTCATAATATTACAATTCTTTCCACAATTCCATGGTCAATGAAGTCTTTGATACTATAGAAACATTTTATGTTTTCCAATCATTATTCATATTTATTTCGACCAACCTTTTATTAATCCATGGTTCGAACATTCAACTCTAACGAACATTTATTTATGATTTAAATTTATTTAAGCTGTTGTTATCAATTAAACATTTCCTGATCAGTTGTATATCGAATCCCTTAGTGACTTAGTCATAGGGACGAGATTAGCTCAGCAAGCAGCATTACGTGAGCAAACTATGTAGTACTAGTCGAGTATAAATATTTACATAAACGAAATTAACTCGAAATATACCCTACTGGTCAAGTTGATAGGAAAATGGAAAACGTTCATATACTCCGGTCGATAACCGTGTGGTTACGGTAGAGTAAAATATATTTTATACCGACCTTAAAAATAATGAGGTTCTCAGTTCTAATTGTAAGTAGGTACCTATGTATGTACATACATATATATCTCGCGATTGGCTAAAGCGATTATGACGCGGTTTTCAGAAAAGTATTTGTTACACTTAGGAGAAGGTTTTAATACACTAACAACCCGACATTCAGTGGTCGCAAGTGCGATTTGTTTCGGGTTCGATTACCACGTTGGTCAAAGTATAACTAGATTTAAAAAAACTCTCAGTAGTAGCACGAAGTCCGGGATTGTATCTGGTATATGGCAGTAGGCTCACCCTCTATTACATGGGACTCATAACATAAATAGTGAAAAGTGGGTGTTACATTGTACAGTGGAATTAAGTGCCGTAATGTGCACGTCTGCTTACCCCTTCGGGGACAAAAAGCCCTGAGGTTACGTTATGTTATGTGCTAAAAAGCCTGATCGTATTTGGTGTGACTCTTTAAAAGAAGCGAAATCTTCTTGCTTTGTAGTCGCACTTATAGTACGTGACAAAACTAACAATCAATATTAAAATAATAATATAATTTATTACTGTATCAATAAAGGTAAGGCAACTAGAACTTCGGAACTTGAACACCGTCATAATTAGGTTATTAACCGCTTGAATGTCTGTATATGAGACACAATAGAAAATACATTGTGTCTCGCGTGGATCCACGTTTAGACACACGACGGGTTAAAGCAAGAAAATAGTTTTACAAATATAAACAGGTAACCAGTTTTTCTAATTTGTTACTAAGAGTCTGACCTGATACTACTGCCCAATCATTCGAGAAATAGAAGTCATCTGAAGTGTGGGAGAGCCATGCTTCGGCACGAATGGGCCGGCTCGACCGGAGTGATACCACGGCCTCACAGAAAACCGACGTGAAACACGGTTGCGTTGTGTTTCGTCGTGTGAGTGAGGTTACTGGAGGCCCGATTACCCCTACCCCCTTTCCAATCTCCCCAATCCCTGAATCCCCAATAATCCTCAAATCCCTAATCCCCAAAAGGCCGGTAAAGGACTTGTAACGCCTCTGATGTTCCGGATGTCCATGGGCGACGCCGATTGCTTACCATCAGGTGATCCGTCTGCTCGTTTACCGGCTCATCCTATAAAAAAAATACGACTTTTCCATCCTCCAATTCCCATCAAAGCTATTTCTCTACATTTCTATAACGTTATACCTAGATACCGAACATACTTCTGTTCTCATAGAAGACGCTAGAATGTGTGATCATAATTCATGGACCGGACAAATTAATGTCAATAATATGTCAATTATCAACGAGAGGAAAACCAACTGATTTCAATAGCGATTCAAATATATGGTGCAACAATATCTACGTGGAATCATCAATCCTTTCCTTGAATCTTGGGGATCCAAGTAACAATACTACTACCAGTTTTTGACAAGCCCCCTCCCAAAGTCATAATAATCTTTACACCTTGAACATTAAAGTTGAAATTCCAGTAGAGCTATATTAAAGAGCGGTCAACGAAATCGGTCAGCCGGTGAGGCGCCAAAACCTGAGACCAATTGATAAAACACAATCCATTTGATTTTAAACTCTATTGTGGTTACATAAGAATGATTTACGAGTAATTGAAGGGTAATGACATAACTGTGTTTGCATAACTGTTTGCAGTACACACATGTGTGATTATAGGTTATAAAAAGTAGTTGCTTGACAGACGTCAACCGTATCGCAAGCGCATGATTGTAATTCGCGATATTTTTGACATTTAAAAAATTTAATACATTCGAGCGCGAACTACGAAAAGTGATAACAATAATACGATGATTCTAAATATAACTAGTGATTGTGTTTTGTTAAAAAAATAACCTAGAAGTGACTTTGTTTTTTTATTGGTTCTCGGCTTGTATCGTACATTCAGCCAGCATGGAACGGAAAAAGGAAAGCAGTTCGAAACGTCAGATATTAACCGCTTTGGTTGGTAAGTAGATTATTTACCTCCTAGAATTCATAAATTAAAACATTATGCCAGTACCTACTTTTAATGGGGGAAACAGACAGGATAAATATCTAAGTATCTTCATACTAGAACACAAACAGTAACCTATATATTTACGTTATTTATTTCAGTTTAATGTTTTAAACAACACCGAGTGTCTAATTAAACTTAATTCAAAAACTTTCCCAAATCATTAAATGTATTTTTTAGACTTTAACAAAGTTTTTGACAAAAACTCCATATAATTAATTTAAAAAATCGATCGATTTTAGATTGAGATTGGTTCAAACTTAATTCATACATTTTCTAAGTAAAATTGTCACAAGAACGTTTATTCTATTTAATGTGATTGTCACGTTTAAATGACGTTCCCTTTAAATGCAAATGCTGATTGAAACTGCTTACAAAGTCAAGAATTAAAACGGTCAAGTGCACGACGCGCCGTCTCGATGCAGCTGCATACTTGCATAGTGTGGGGCATACAATTATAGATAAGTACTCGTGTTATTAAGAGCTACTTACAACAGATTCATTTTAATTCTAAGCGTGCCTTTCTTTTATAAAAAAAGAAATGGTTCATACAAGATTGCATAGAAAAAATAATTAGTAGAAAATAATTTCAGAAAGTCCAGTTAAGTCTCTATGGAGTTTCTGCCAAAACAGAGATCAGATGCAGAGATTTTACAATAAGATCGTTCATCAATTTCGGCTATTATCGCTAGTAAGTTAAGCCAACAAAAACTTACAGCCATTGTCTGTAACCTATCTGTAGATTTGCTTGCTAATATAGAATTTTGACACATTTTGTATGGAGCTTATGTCAATAGACAGAGGTCCAATCTCCCCAAACCCTGAATCTCGAACAATCCTCAAATTCCTAACTAACAAAAGGCCGGCAACGCACTTGCAACACCTCTGGTGTTTTAGATGTCCATGGGCGATGCCATTTCCTTAGCATCAGATAATCTGTCTGCCTTTTATACCGGCTTATCCCATATAAAAGACATTATGGAATAGTTCCTTACTGTATATTATGTATTACATTATAAGTTCAAGTATCAAAGCTGTACCTACTTCTTTGCTGAAACGTGGTGGTTATGGTGGAATGAACGAGGATATTGAATTAAGTCCAAAGCTAGTTGGTTTATCCTACTGAAGGCGAAATATAAGTACCTAAATCTACCAGAGCGTACGGCGCGTCGCGTTCCGCGCGCGCCTCAAAGAGCCATCAGACCACCTTTGATGGGGCCCAACAGGGGCTGATGCCGATTCGGAGTCGCGGAGAACCTAACGGGTTACCGGGGCTCCGGCTCGACGTGCAGGAGAAGGAACGGGGTGGTTTTTAGTCAGTAAGAGTCTGACACTCCCTCCCGCCTCACCCAGGCGGGAGCAGTCATTCGATGATTTCCCCCCCTTAAAAATAGTACCTAAATCTGGTGTCATTCTTATTTAGGCTTCCTCAGGTCAAAACAAAGCAGACTGAAAATAACTCAGTAAGAAATTAGGCTATAGGACAAAACGAAACCTTATTGTGCAACAAATACGTATTACATTTGAACAAACTTTCTACCCGAGTAAACATTGAAATCGCGCGTAATTTAGTAACAGGATATAGGAAGGAACTGATATACTTTCTATTCTGCGTAAAAACAATGGATTTTGGTGTTTATTCCTTTGATAATATGGTCCTGAGTTAAATACTTAATAGTTTGCTCTATTAAGTATTCAACTCAGGACCTGCTCTATTAAGCATTGTGCTGCATTTCAAAAATGATTTGCAATAGGAAACAGTAGCTACATTGACATATATTCATCTGATTAAGATTCAGTGCCGACGTAGCAAAAGGACAGAGAGCACAGACCTATTTGAGCAGTAGTAAGACATCATCACCATAGCATCAGTCCCAAGAGTCCACTAGTCCATTAATTATTAACCCGTCGTGTATATAAACGTGGATCCATACAAGACACAATATATTTTCTATTGGTATCATATCGGTGCATTCAAGCAGTTAAACATAGGTGTAAGTGTGTAACTACAGGGTGGCAAGTCATAAAAATGTTACGGGCCTCCAGTCGAAATTCTCATCTGAACTTCTCTGTTTTAGTAGGCAAAGGAGGCCCATCCGATAAATTTGCCACGGGCCTCGATCAGTGTGCTTACGCCACTCGCCTCCCTCAATGACTTCCATATCGGTCTGTATTGGAAGCTATCTGTATCCATCAGCTCCTTGCGATATCAGTATCAGACTTTAACATAACATAACATCACGCCTTTTATCCCCGAAGGGATAAGCAAAGGTGCAAATTACGGCACTTAATGCCACTGTACAATTTAACACCTACTTTTCACTATTTATGTTATGAATCCCATGTAATAGGGGGTGAGCCTATTGCCATTTACCGGGCACATTTCCAGACTCCGTACTACTACTGAGATTTTTTTTAAAAACCCAGTAATACTTTGCCCGGCACTTGCGACCACTCGGCCAACGAGGCAGTACTTTATCATCATCATTTATCCCAGATTCACTCATAGTTGCATATCTCCTCTTGTTGTACCTCATGTTATTTCACTGTTCAATACATCCTTCAAACATATTGACATACTGCCACTAAGTTCCTATCTACCCTACATGGATAAAACTCCGTGATACTACCGTTGCTAACAGCACCATGGCGCCAACGCAATGTTTACGTAGACTTGATAACACGCAGTTATAAAACGTACAAAGTCATTCAATACTAAGAAGTAAGCATTATGATTTTATGAAGAGGATATTTACAAGTACAAAACAACATACATACATGCCAATTGCTTAGCAAAGGGGTAGGCAGAGTGGTACAGGTGCACGTATAATGTTCATGTTAATTTTTTTTCACAACATTGTCCCACACTATTATTTTCTCCTGTATCGTGGGTGTATTTACAAACATACGTTCACATACTCATGACACCCAGACCCAGAACAACAATCTGTGGATCCCACAATGAATTGTTCCGTGCGGGAATCGAACCCGCAACACGTTGCACGGCAGCCAGTCGCCCAGCCACCTCGCCAACCGTGCAGTCGAACTATACACTATTTACTGGTTATGTTGGAGTCTCACCATAAATCATAGGAGGTAATCCTTTTTTATTGAGGGGGGGGGGGAATGATCAAATGCCTCGCCGCGCTGGGTGGAGCAACGTCAGACTCTTACTGACTAAAAACCACATCGTTCCTACTCTTGCGAAGCCCCGGTAACCCGCAAGATCTTACAAAGAGGGTGAGCCTACTGCCATACTGCGGGCTGAATCCAGGTTCCGTCTAGGTTCATAAAATTTTCGTTTTCATAAGGTAAATAACCGTGTTAGAACTGTGAAACTGTGACCCCTATCTGAAGGGGCAACTTATTTCTATGTGTAAGCAGCCTAAAATAGAAACTACGTAACTAATAAATAATGTTTACAACCCAAACAGTATTATTTACAAAACATTCTCATAAATATGTATAAGAAAATGCACATTTTCTTATCTTCTTTACAACCAGCAATTAATCACTGTCATATTTTATGAAAATATTTAACAATTCATGAAGACGATTTGAAAATATGTATTTATGTATAATTTTACATAATGTACCTATATACAGTGAATAGGTTTTTTTCATAAATCAGTCTTGTGTCGATTCATAGGTGCAAAGTTCAGGGTAGGTGTATCAGATTTTTTAGATAAAATGTAGATATTACGTTATTTTACCGACACGTATATAAAATAAATGTGATTTGTCATTTGTCTATAGCTGTAGATAGAGATAAAATATCAACAGTTCCAGTTTCAAATGATTATTTTTAGATACATCATCATAAGCCATAAGTGTCTCGTGGGCTCGCTCACAAACTGCAAATTCACACTGACAGTCGAAACAACAGCCCCAGATGGGGACCAGTAGGGCTCAACCCAGAGCTACAGACGACCTAGCGGGTTCTGCCCCACTCAAAGCAAAAGAGAAGACTAAGAATGGGGTGGATTTTAATCATTATAGTTTGACACTTTGAGCTCGTACACAAAATTACGATGCGATGCGATGCGAATTCGCAACGCAAAAAATTACGATGCGAATTGCTGCGATGCGATTTCGTGCGACAAGGCGTCTCCCAGGCTGACTATTCCTTCGATGACCGTCAACCGTACTAAACGTATTTTAAATTGAAAACTAGGTCGTGACATGGATCGTAAAAAGAAGTGTGCACTTCTGTTATTGGTTAGGAGATATAGGAAAAGAAAAAAAGAAGATTTTGGGAAGATAAGATTTTGATGCGCGATGCGAATCAATTCGCAAGTTCTTGCGATGCGTAAAGCGAGATCGCACATCTTTGCTATTTGACGTCGCATCGCAGTTTTATGTACGAGCCCTAACTGTCGCCTCACCGAAGGCGGGTGAAGTCATTGGAGGATTCCTTGCCCAAAACTCAGGCCCGAAATACCAATTTGTGGATCGCACAAATACTAACACAATTTTATGTTTGTTTGAATTAAACTTACATTGCGCAACAGCCGGTTTCCCAATAACCGCGTTAACCGGTCATGCCATCAATTTTCTTTTACAATATTTTACAAGGTCCGACCGTTATAACACTAATGTTCATTGCAATAGAGAGGTGCCGCAATAAAAATTACTGACATACTCATTCAACTGTTATGTTACTACAATGACTCGTCCTTTATCTCAGAAAAGATAAAATATTTCAATAATATCTGTTCACAATGTAATATTTCTATGTAACATTATGTAGTTCTAGAGTTATCCATATTACATGGAAATTAACTAAAATCGCGGGTTACTCACGGGAATATACTGAGAAAAGCTCTACTAGTTTCGAACCACAGAAGGGTTCTTACTTGTGTGAGCAGTGAGCGCGGTCGTGGCGATGTCGCGCAGCTCACTGGCTGGCGATGGCGCTCGCATCGGTGTTGCTACTTGCGCTGCGAGCCCATGGAAATGCCTAACTGTGAAGTACATAAATACATAATTATATTTATATCTATGACAGTAGTTTAAATTAAACTGTCAAACACCAAGCGGTCACCGGTGACCGCAACCTATTGTTCTTTAATTGTGTCTATAAAACCGGTACTCGACGAGTTAACTTCGTTGTACTTTATAACCTTCATTTGTTTGGAAAATGTAATAAGGTCGTGTCTATTTTACGCGACCCCAATTGAACAATCAATTACAGACATATCAATAAGAAATTTGCCTAATCACAGGGAATTATGGAGACGTGAGATTAAAACAACTACATATTTTGAAACTGTTTCAATTATGATCTTTATTGTGTAGATATAGAAGAATACCTAGTTAAGAAAATTTGCAAGTCATCATAATGAAAATCAATAACTAAAGGTATCTTCACCACATTTTCTAAATTAGCAAAGTTAGCATTCAAAATGAGGTTCTGCTAATTTCATAGTATCTACATAACGTATTTTGTGTTTGTATAAATTGTTTTTTATCACCATTATAATATCAAACACAACATGTCCGCTGCTAAATATTGGCGTCCTCTAATGAACTTTAAAGATTAATTAGCTATGTGTTTTCATGCAGTAGCGCTCGCTTATAAACCTGAACCTTCTACATAGCAATTTCCAACCGCCTGTCAACGGTGGAAATTATGGGAAGCCCTCTTATATCATCATCAACAGCCTATAAATGCCCACTGCTGAGCAAAGCCACTTCTCGCACGGAGAAGGTTTGACCATTAATCACCACGCTTGCTCAATGCGGGTTCGCGATTACAAACTTATAATTATAAATTATAAACCCAGGTTTCCTCACGATGTGTTTCCTTCACTTTTTGTCAGTAGTGTCTACATAATCTTAGAAAGTACATATAACTCTGAAAAAGTCACATTGGTACTTGCCGTTGGTAGGTTTCAAACCCGCACCCTCATGCATGAGAAGCGGGCGTCTTAAACTCCAGGACACCACACCCTCTTATATACAGAAGCTCTATAGTCCAGTAATGGTCTGTCATAGACTTTTGATGTTGAACCGTTAACCCGTAATTATATCTTTACATACTTTTTTACCTTCAATTTTGATCTTGACTATGATTGGTACGGTGGCTGGGCAACCGGCTACCGCGCAACGTATTGTGAGTTGGATTCCCGTAGTGGGCAACTCTTTGTAAGATCCACAAATTATTGCTTATATTGTGTTATGTGTATGTGAACTTGTATGTTTGTAAAATACGCACCCACGAGAGACGAAAATGCTAGGTGCAAAGTTATTCAAAATAAAAAAAAATCTTTACGTTTATTCCAGCAACAATACCAACCTTCACATATGGAATCCAGATCGGCTGGCTGTCTCCAATGGGACCGCTTCTAAGGTCTAAATCAACGCCCGCGCGGGACCCCTTGACAGACAATGACATCTCGTGGATGGCGGCCGCACTACCTCTAGCCGCCATTTGTGGGATACCGTTCTTCAGTCACGCGTCTGATCGATTTGGACGAAAGATCTGTGTTATTCTAGTTTCTATATTGTCTTGTGTAAGTATTTATAACATAACTATAATTACATTTCCTGTCTCAGGTCTACTGGAAGAAACTCCAACGGAATAAGTAGCACCTATGTACTCTTATTTTGTAAATGTGTTATCCTCTATGCTGTTTGTGTGTACATAAATTATTAATTAAATAAAAAAATAGCATATCACCCACCTTATCCCCGGTAGGGTAGGCAGAGGTGCACATGCCAGTTATTGCCACTGTCCAATGTAACATCCACTTTATACTATTTATGTTATGAGTCCCATGTAATAGGGGATGAGCCTATTGCCATATACCAGGCTCAATTCCATATTCCGTGCTACTACTGAGATTTTATTAAGCCCAGTTATATTCTTATAATAAGTAGGTTAAAAGCTGTTCTCTTAAGAGGATTAAGTACCCATATTAAAGTTAGATAGGTTTAAAATGCAACATTAACGGGTAACCGGGGCTCCGACTCGAAGTGCAGGATTAGGAACGGGGTGGTTTTTAGTCAGTAAGAGTCTGACAGTCCCTCCAGCCTCACCCAGGCGGGAGCAGTCATTCGATGAATTTCCCACATAAAAAAAAACTTATGTACATGAGTGTCCTCCATTCAGCGGTATCGCCACTCGACCAACAACAAAGCTCTGTTTAAACAATCATTTAGGATCTTATAATTTGGCCAAAATCACTCGATCGATCCTATCATCAGCATCAATTAACAACTTTAACAATGACGTCACAGTACCTATTTTCAATGACAATATTTGCATTAACTTTTGCAACTTTACTACAAACATAATTATTACTTTAAACATGTAATATGACGTCAAAATTCACATTATGCAGCTATGTCTGACGTTAGGTAAATGAGTACTAATTCTCACTTACTTAAGTAAGTAGTTATACCTACACAGTGAGCGAATAATATTTACATAACATCACGCCTTTTATCCCCGAAGGGGTAGACAGAGGTACACTTAATGCCGTTAACAGAATTGGTGAAAAGTTAGAAGTCCCATGTACCTAATAGGGGGTGAGCCTATCGCCATACACTGGGCACAATCCCGGACTCCGTACTACTACTGAGATTTTTTTTAAATCCTAGTAATTCTTTGCCCGACCCGGAAATTGAACCCGAGACCCTTGCCCAGCAGTCAGACTTGCGACCACTCGACCAATGAGGCAGGCAAAGAATAATATTTACTTTTACATAATAATCTTTTATTTGTTTTAAAACCTGTTCACATAGTATAAATAAGATTAAACGGTGGCTTGTTGTAAAGTTCCTTTTCATTAAGATATATTATTCATAATAATTTAATTCGGAATTCCTCAACGAGGTATAGGCAGAATTCCTTTATTATGCGTGCAAGCAGAGACTTAAACAACCTGTGTAAGGAGTATCCAATAGATCCGTTTGTAACGCGGACTTCTACGGTACGAAGGATGCTCACCCTACAGTTTTTTAATTTGATATAAAACTAAGTGGGTAACTTGGTTTAATATTAATTTGTTATTGTTGGTAGTATGGTTGGTGTGTGTTTATTTTTTTATGTTTTTTATTGTTGGTATATATAGGCTCTTGTTGTTTTTTTTTTATTTATTTTTCCCTAAACGATGTATTTGTTTGGACTGTGAGTGTTTTTTTTTATTGAATAATGTGAAGTCTATTCGTGAAAACCTGTAATTGGCTTTCTGGTGTTATTATGTTATCTGTTTGTTTGCTATGTGTAGCTGTTGGTTTTCCAATCCATAAATAAATAAATAAATAAATAAATAAATAAATAAATAAATAAATAAATAAATAAATAAATAAATAAATAAATAAATAAATAAATAAATAATATAAATTAATAGTAATTTAAATTAATAATAATTTATTATGGATGAATATTATATAAAGGTCGTACAACCAATAAAATGTGTCCAGTTGGTTAATGGTCCACTATAACTGGACACATTTGGAAATAGTCTTCCTACAACTGTTGTATCCGAGACTATCTCACCTGGTGACAACTTGGTCGCGCCACTAACTGGTTGTCGGCGACTCTATTGTTTGTTCTGTTGTCTCCGTTTTCATAGTTGCGTGACATGTGATGTCCTGATATAATAAGGTTTCAAGGTTGATTTAATAACTACACAATTGAACTATTAGTAGGTACTCCTTATTCTCTAGAGATGTGCCGTAATAGGTGTTGCACTGTGGGGGCTCCGGAGCAGGTCTCTTCTAGAGGACCTGGTGCCCCTTACAGGTGTTGAGGGTGACCAAAGGGATGGTTTTAGTGAGGTACGAATCCCACACTCCCTAGTCTTTCTCCCAAAAAAACTAGGCGCCTTTCAAGGTCTTTCCCGTCATCAAAAACAAAGGTACTACTTATTACTAAAAAAGACACAGAATAGTTTTTTATTATCATCAACATTTTTGGTTCCTAAATGACTCGAATGCACCAATGCGCATATTATTATTATGTGTAATGAGTTTGAAAGCCTTTTCTCACGAGGACGTTTCACCCAAAACCTCTTAGTCGATAGTGGCGCCCGTAAAACAGCTGAACCAAAAACAAGAAACCAAAAAACATTAGACAATTAATGAGGCCTTCCACCTCGGGACCAAGTATTAAACCGAAGTAACTCCTAAACAAATAAGTACTTCCTTAATTTCATAAGTACGTTGACTTGAAATATAATCACGGTGCAATAAAATTCTTAAATCGAAAAATACATAACTGTTCTTAAGATGGTGCCATAAAGTTATTAAAAGCCTCCATATCTCTTATGTTTATACAAGTACTAAAACGAACATAAGATTCAGAATGAACACTGAACTGACGAACCATTATGATTTTGAACCGACAAGCCGATAGAACTGCTTTACATTTGGGGCTATCCTCTTTCAGGATTTCACTAAATGGGAGATACCGTTTTCTTGCTCACCAAATGGTGCTAATCTAGCTAGAAGTTTTTTATTATTTAGCAAATCGTCCGGCCCTAGCCACAATGCGGAACGAGGACTGGGATGCCGACTGCTCCTTTAGCTAAGGAGAAGGCGGGGCGTGTGACAAGCCAGCCGTAACGAGGGACACTCCGGGTGTCGGGGATCGCGGGACGATCTCCAGCCACCGTAAGCACGGACCTGCGGACGGCGAGCATGGGTAGCTCGCCGCCCAAGCAGAACCAGACCCGAGCGTACGGCGTGTCGCGTTCTGCTCGCACTCAAAGAGCCATCAGACCACCACGGATGAGGCCCAATAGGGCTGATGCCAATACGGAGCCGCGGAGGACTTAACGGGTTGCCGGAGCTCCGGTTCGAAATGTAGGAGTACGAACGGGGTAGTTTTTTCTCAGTAAGAATCTGACACTACCTTTCGCCTCACTCAGGCGGGAGAAGCCATTCGATGATTTTTACCCCCTTAAAAAAACAAGAGGTTTTTTGTCCAATCACAGCATCTGTCAAATATTGAACGTCCAATGGTGTGACATTAGCTAATCCCCTATTTGATGAATAACGCGAGGTCCACATAAAACGACCAACAAAACGGTAGCCCCTTAACCTTTTACCTGCCTATGAGACACAATTCTTCCCAATTATGTTTTAAAAAGATTTAGCTAAACGCCAGTGTTTTACACGAAACGACTGCGATCGGCTTGGGGTACCAGACACTTGATAGGAGTCGTCGTCATTGCCATTTTTTTAGGTATTCGACCAGTAAATCTCTAGCTATCTTTGTTATGACCAGTAAATCTAACGGATGAATAAAATCTTATAATTAATTTCTAATTTCAGATATCCTGGACGATAAAACTGACAGCAATTTTCCCATCAGCATTAATATCAGCGAGGGTGATAGCTGGTCTCGCAGCGGGCGGCTGTTTCGTTGTAGTTCCTGTTTACCTTAAAGAGATTTCGGAAGACACTCTTCGAGGGGCTTTGGGGTCTTTGAACATGACTATGTGTAAACTTGGAGTGATATTTGTATATGCCATTGGAATGGCGACCTCGTATCGAGTGAACCAAGGAGTCTACCTCGCCGTGGCGGCTGTCCATGTGATTGTCTTCTGTTTTATGCCAGAATCTCCCAACTATCTTTTGAAGATCGGCGAGGAAAAGGTTGGTTGAATATTTTTTGTGTGTGTTAAAATATTGTGTATTGTTTTTTAAGGGTTTTTTAAAGTGTACTGTGTGTGCTCCGATACTCCGATACGCATTAAAGATTTAACATAACATAACATCATGATTTTATCCCTGAAAGAGTAGGCAGAGGTGCATATTACGGCACTTAAACTGTCAAACACCAAGCGGTCACCGGTGACCGCGACCTATTGTTCTTTAATTGTGTCTATAAAACCGGTACTCGACGAGTTAATGCCACTGTACAATGTAACACCCACTTTTCACTATTTATATAATAGGGTGAATCTATTGCCATATACCGACCACATTTCTAGACTCCGTGTAACTACTGAAAAACCCAGTAATACTTTGCACGACCCGGGAATCCAACCCGAGACCCCTTGGCCGGCAGTTGCACTTACGACCACTCGACCAGCGAGGCATTCAAATCAAATTTAACCAAAAAAAATAAAATAATGGAGACTTTAATAATCGCATCTTTAGTCATTTACTTCTTCTATAAACATGGTGATTATCGTCCCTTCTTCATATGAGAAAAGGCCTTTATCCAGTGGTAAGACATATATTTGATAGCTCGACGTTTGACCACTATCTCACCTGGTGGTAAGCGATGATGCGGCCTACGATGGAGCATGTCGTCCCGTAAGCAACCTATTCACTCAGGCCTTGAAGACTCCCAGGTTATACCCGTCAGGAAATACAGACTCTGACAAAGAATTCCACTCCTTAGCAGTACGCACAAGGAAGCTTGATGCGAATCGCTGCATGAAATTTTACTTCAACCTTAAAAGACTTCCAAATGTTTCAGAAAGCAGCTAAAACAATATCCTGGCTGCGCAGTCTTAACAAGGACCACAACCAGGTCGTGGAGGAGCTGCTGAAGCTGAAGGATGAACAGCGGCAGTTCGAGGAGACCACCCGGGTCTCACTGCTCAGTGTGGGTAAAGTACGAATGATATATTCTTAAGTACTATTAAATTTAATAGGTACTTGAACAGCTCCTCTGGACAAATGAAATTTGATCGTAATTCGAAGAATGTAAAAAATGTGTAGGATGGTATTGGATCTGACTTTCGACTTAAAACTGGTGTCAAAGCAAATGTCTAGCTAACCCTTACATAGTTTAACCAGTCACTCTTTAAATACTATTTATCTAGCTATGTGACTTATGCTGCTATGAGAACCCCTAAAAAGCCAGTATGGAATTGACTTTGACATACGTCAATGTGTCATACGTCACTTGGACAACGTCAAATTTGGTACATGTCAAATTTGAGGTATGTCAAAGTCATACATTCCTTTATTTCTATTATATTTTTATTAGACTAGCGATTACCATTTGTCTCTAAGTAAAATTATCTTCAGTACCTAAACAGATAACATTGATCATCTAACAAGCAACATTGACAAAGTGGCCATAATAAAATTAATATAGTCATATTGAAACTACAAATAAAAATGTAAGATAAGAATAAGCACGTTTTAACTAAGACTACGTACAAAATGCTCATCAAAATACCCCCAATCTACTTAATTTTCAACCATAACTTCTTGCAATAAGGTTGAAAATCTAATAAATGTAATGGGCAAAATGGGATAGCTATACACTTTATATTATACACTGATAACAATTCAGTGTGTACATTATGATATTAAATATTTGAGCTATAAAACCTAAGTCAGGACCTACCGTTATCTAGTCCTTACTTTGTAAGTACCTACAATTAGGCAATAAGGTGATAATATTATCTATACGAATGTTGGCTGTGAGTTCGATGTCTTAACAAATATTTCTTTATGACACATCTTTTATATCCTTATGAGCCTGCCTAGAAGCATAATTGCACATAAATGCATGTATTACGTAAGTTTTCTAATAATAATTGTTATTACGTATACTGTCCTACATCAACAGTAATAGGCACATCTTAAAACTCTGTCCGACTCGAGAAAACCAGAAGCCCTCTGCACTACAGTCATCCGATCATGAACGATGCAGTCTTACTAAGTTACTTTACCATAATATTTTTACATGCAAGTAAATTCACACCTCACAGTAAACCGACGTGAAACATCGCTTGCCTTGTTTCGTCATGTGAGCGAGGTTACCAGAGGCCCAACTTCCCCCCTCCCCTATCCCAATCTCCTCAATCCCTGAATCATCAACATTCTGCAAATTCCTAATTCCCAAAAGGCCGGTCACGCACTTGTAACACCTCTGGTGTTCCAGTTGTCCATGGGCGACGCCGAATGCTTACCATCAGGTGATCCGTCCGCTCGATCACCGGGTTATCCTATAAAAAAAATCAACTTTATGTTATGAGCTACAAGTTTAAAATTTCTTCTTAAATTTATTCTTAACCTTTTTTTTGAGGGGGGAAAATCATCCAAGTTATTCTTAACCTATCAATACAATAAATCAATACTTAATTCCTCTTACTTTCCATAGTACGCGACCGTACGACATTCTCGGCGCTTCGGATGACGCTGATGCTGATGGCGATGCAGACGCTATCAGGGTGCTTCGCCCTAATGAACTACGCGGCCGACGTGTTCCATAGAGCGGGCACACAGTGGAGCCCTAACACGTTGGCATTGGCTGTCGGCTCCCTGCAGCTCGCTGGGTCGTTCTTCACTACGATATCCATTGAAAAGTTTGGACGAAAGGTAATTTAGTTTTTTTGTTATAGAGCTATAAATCTCTACCGCAACTCCAAACCAGAATCCCCCACAGGAGGGCAATGCACTTATAATTGTCTGATGTTGCGGTTGTCCATGGGCATCGCCGATTGCTTACCACCAGGTTTTCGTTGCTCGTTGGCCATTTGCAAAACAAATCATAACTGAATTTTAAAAAGAAGGTTTTCAAAAATATTGTGACCTTACTGAAAAAAATGTACTACGCTATATATGGCAAGCGTAGGTACATAACTCAACTTGGTTCATTGAATAAAAATTTTAAAACGGTGTACGACAAACTACCTACTCGTACATTAGGTACCTATTTCTTAAATTGGGCATATTTTTTGTGATCATTATCGCAAAAGGATGAAGGGAACCAAAGAAAAACAGTTTATTTATATAGGATCCAAAGCAAGGTCACCAAGATTCCCAAAAATAAACTCTCCTTTAAAACTTTGAAATATTTTTATTACATACAATCTACAGTTTACTGACAAACTCATTCCACGGACAATATCCGTGTCTATCCTTGTCTGAACACCAGTTCAACCTCATGACGACCCTCTGCAGAGGATTATCAAAAGAAAACTTATTCCCACTTCGCACCTGAGACCAACTCGGGTACACATACTCCACCCTCAAAAAGTCATTTTTATCATCTGTCCATCTCTGAAACACTAGCTTCCCACCAATAGGATGTTTCTCAAACTGCTTCGGCAAATCTATGGGTTCAAATCCCATATTTGTAGTAATAGTGTTCAAATTATAATCGTGACCGACTATCAAAGTCAATTTCGGCATATCGTCATAATTATTAAATATTTCTCTCAAGTAGTTCATCAATGGTGCTCCGATATCTTCAGCTGCTGTTGAGTACCTTATGTCATGATCTTGACGTCCCAACTCCGTCACTACTTTCCATTTTTCTTTATTTTTCATATAACCCCACGCAATGTCTTTTATCGGCACACCATCGTAGTAACTCATCACAAAGAAATCTACCACCGAATCGGCTATCATCAGTGGTCCGTTAACCCACAGTTCTTTACCAACTTTATAAAATATTGTATCCTTTGGCTCCGTCAAATCACAGATATCATCCTCTTTGCAAACGTCTGACTCTTCTATATCCAATATGTCGTTCAATTCCAAATACACCTCTTTGAGTTTCTGATTATTTAACATTTTTCTTTTGATTTCTCCTATTACCTTGTCTTTGTAAGCCTGCGTAGTGTTGTGTATCACAGGGGCAAAGAGAGGATCTGAGCCATTGATTTTTTTATGATACATGCGCACGGGCAGTCTTTAAACGCAGATTCAAGGAAAGCTCGCGCAGTTGCCTTAGTTCTGCTCACTGTGTTCGTGTACACATACACCTCGTCGTCATCAGGACATCCCACATTTAGAAACTCATTGTCATTGAACCATTCTGCGAAATATTCGCCCATGTATCCTTCTAGCCGTGCTCCTCTAGGCGTCAGCGCTCCTTTTGCTCCAGATAAAGTGGGCCATGGTTTCTGTGTATATCGTTCCAGGTCATCCGCAACTGGGTACCGCACATTGTGCCTACTGAATATCAAAACTTGCTTTAGTTTCAATTCGTTTGCGTCCAAGTTATTACAAAACAACACGATCGATAAAAACACAGAAACTAATATTTGCGCCATAATTTTATTAACTTTTCTATCACTGTTACAGACGTCGTATTTGGATTTTAAATAATATATCATCCGTATTTACGTAGGTATTTGACTAACGTTTGTTTAAATAGACCAGCCCATGTCTGCAGGTAAAACAAGACTAGTTTAGATTTCATAAAAAAGTTCGCACGGTGCACACTGCGACGTCGTGGTCGTGTATGGTTCCTCGTAAAGAAGCGCTCAAAACTAAATTTGTAATTTTACGTTTTGTTGATTTTTCTCCGATTTATTTTTATTTTTATTTTTAAAGGGGGGGAAATCATCAAATGACTGCTCCCGCCTAGGTGAGGCGAGAGGGAGTGTCATACTCTTACTGACTAAAAACCACCCCGTTCATTCCCCTGCACGTTAATATCTTTTTTGAGGATATATCATAGATATGTATAGGCAGATAAATAACATTGGAGTGTCTGTTTGTAATATTGAGATAATCGCTTTTTACTACATGCAAATATGAATATACATACGATACAATACAAAATAAAATTTAAATTTACAATTTTTGTCTATTTGTAGTGGCAGTAGCTTATCTCTGAAATGGCCGGACCGATTTTGCCTGGTTTTATTATATAACACATCCATTCGGTAATGTTTTAGAAAACTTTGTGCGTGGGTTCTTAATTTTTCGACTGAAATATTATTTCAATGTATCCTCAAAAAAATATCAAAAAATTCAACAGAATTTAAAATAAAAAATCTAGTTTGGGCTCTACCTTGTATGGCGACGTCCCAGTGTGCGGTGTACAGCTGTATAAAGATGACTGGAATGAATACCGTACGCATTTCATTTAAAAAATATTATTTATTTATGTGTAAAACCGGAAAATTATTAATATCATTTAAACATAATACACTGTGAAATTTATTTCGCTATTTTCTCCAAGTGATATGGTTTTATCTCGGTAACACAATCCATACTTATCTAACTAACGTTATAAATGAGAAAGTGTGTGTGTCTGTGTATTTGACCGTGTTTCACGGCAAAACGGAACGACGAATTAACGTGATTTTTTTAACTGAAGATAGTTGAACGGTCGGAAAATGACATAGTCTGCTTTTTATCTTTGTCAAACCACTTCCTCAAAATGGAGGGTGAAAGGTGAAGGTATGAAGCATTTCGCAATTTTCAAGGTCGAACGCTAAACATTGGTATACGGACTATTCGTGGCTAACATAAAATCGTACATGATTATTTATTATTAACACAACACCCTAAAACTGACGAAAGCGTTCGCATAAAATGGGTTTTAAGTTTTTTTTGGTAAAAATCGTTTATTAAACACAAAAGCTTTCAAAAGATGTAGCAGTAGTCTAATTATTACACAATTGTGGTAAATTATAAACACTCAAAAAATATAAAAAACAACTTACATTGAAATAATCAAAGATAAATTTAGGATGAGTACAATTAGGTATTTTTTAAATACTGTAGCGTCCCGCCTGTGGTAGGTTTCAGTAAAAACCTGTGTTTCAGGCCAACACTTCATTCAAGTAAGTACCTAAACAATAGGCCTAAATCTCGAAGGGGATCCTAGCCGGGTGGCAAGTCACGTCTAGAGTTATTATTTGTTCTCAAGTGCGTAAAACAATGAGTAATTTTTACTTTATGCATAGAAAATATTCCTTATGGCAAATTGTTATACCGTGGGAAAACAATTAGGTACATATATTACACAGTGTATAACACAGCTGGCCACGGTATTAGTAACAGCAGTAATATCTTATCAAAGAACACGTGCAGCCCTATAATATAATCATTGGACTTGCACTGAACATGGAAGCTATGTGAACAAAATATTGCAGTTTACTCACGTGGATATGCTGAGAAAAGCTCTACTAGTTTCGAGCCACAGAGGGGCTCTTCCTCATGAGCAGCGTGCGCGGTCGCGGCGATATCGCGCGGCCTACTCTGCGTAGGCTTTACTCAGTATATTCACGTGAGTAACACGCGAATTTTGTTCTTTTAGTGTCTCACGACAGTTATTATAAGAACATGGAAGCTACGATAAGGTAAAAAAGGAATAATAATATATTTATCGACAGTTTTCCCTGACCTACCTAAACCATATCTCTTAACGCATTCACTGCCCAGTGGATTTTCTCGGAGAAAATCCACTGGGCAGTGAATGCGTTAACTAAAATCGAGACGTAGCATCTAATTCTAAACTAAACACTAGAACTGTTAGGACCCACTTATGTTAGGTGTGAACTCCAAAATGTCGTTAAATATGACCTGTCTTATATCAGAGGTTCCTTATAATTTAGAAGTTGGTAAAAACGGTATTGGAAACCGACACATCTTCTACTAGCGTTGCGTTCCCGGGATAAAAATTACCCTATATGTTGGACGAGACCTCAATCTATTTCTGTACCGGTACCTATCTAATTTCAATCAAAATCCGTCCAGTAGTTACTTTATAAAAGAGTTCGAAACATATTATATCCACACAAACTTTCGTATTTATAATATTAGTAGAATTTACTGTTACTATTAGCGATGCAGATGATCCTTGTGTGTAATACGGGCAATCATATTGTCAAACGCCTGGAACAGTGTATTAAGTGTCGGAGAGCCATGCTTCGGCTTGAATGGGCCGGCTCGACCGGAGTGATACCACGGCCTCACAGAAGACCGACGTGAAACAACGTTGTGTTGTGTTTCGTCGTGTGAGTGAGGTTACCGGATGCCCAAATAAGTATTTCGACTTGTAATTATTATCTCATAATTTCTATTGTAATTACATTAATTGTAGCCTTGTTGCTTATACGGTTACACATGTGATTGTTGTTCAAGGAATTTCGGCATTTCGGGTATTCTGTGAAATTTTTATTTTGTGATAATTAGGAATCTGGGACTTGTACCCGATGAAATATTTAACCACGCCTCCTTTTACTACTTTGGCTTGATTGATCGCGGGCTTATAAATGTATAATTTGATTTTCCTAACAATTTTTTATTGAGGTTGCCCTTCTTAGACCAAAGATCGCAGCTTAGCCCAGTAGATTTCATCATAGGCAGGTCATTCCTCCTCCGTTCTTGATGGGAGGGTCATGGTCTCCCAATAAAAGATGTCCTACCTGAAACCAAACAAGGAGATCAATATTTAACTAATTAATGAGCATGATTAATTAGTTTGCGAGAGCTACTAAACCTATATAGCACCTACCTTCGAAGGAAAACCTACCGTGTTACCAGGGCGCTAAGTAGGTATCTGTTCCAGCAATAGACCATCAAGGAATCACAAGGTCGTTGCATTGACAAGGACGGATTATAGCTGATTTAATTAGCGTACGAAAGAACGAGGCATGTAAAAATCGTAACAATTGTCGTTCTATAGTCTTTGCATACCCCCATTGGAGACAGGCGTAACGTTATGTATACTTAGACTTAAGTAGATTGTCCCGCCATTTACCTATCTAAACAAATGGAATATAAAATTGGGAAACACTTACCTCTGATGATGATGATAAAGCATCCTCATCATTACGCATTCTTCAAAACTTACACACATGTTTATGACCAAAATATTTATGACTATTGGTGACTTTTGACTTTTTCATTTTTTCCGCGACTTGTCATCATTTGTGAATAGATTATTGCATCGATCATCGATATCAAAGCAGTTTATGTTGTCAAATACCTGCAATAAACCTATTTGGAGACATATAGTGTTACTTAACTTGGACTGTTCAGAAATTATATCCACTGATTTAGGTAGGTACCTACTAAAGGATAAAATGACAGGCTTCAAATAGCGTTTATTGAATACCATTTTATACAGTAATTTTATACTGTTAATGTAACATAGGTATCTGTAAACAGGCAACGTCTATACGTTGCCTGTTTTTCAACGGTTTTACCTACTACAATCTTACATTCGTAGGTAAAACTAAAAGCTAATACGTGTGTAAATCGTAATCATCAACCTATAAGTGCCCATTGCTGAGCATTCGTTCGGATCATGATCATGATCATTAGGATTTAATGTAATTAGCATTAAAGCATTGCTCAAAAAGGTTTGGCAATTCCAAACTTACCTATATGTAACCTAGTTAGAATTAATAAAGCCAGGTTTCTTCACGTCAAGTGTGGGCTATAATTATGTTATTTTTGCTTCCAGATTCCTCTGGCCTGCAGTTCACTAGTCGTGTCAATATGTATGACGACCTTAGCCACCTGTTTCCTTCTCGGCACGGGCGTGGTGAGCTGGTTGCCAGTGGTAGCCGTGTGTCTCTGTATCCTGGCTTACGGAGCCGGTCTGGCACCAGTTCCCATGGTCATCATGGCTGAAGTATTTCCTTTCCAGGTAAGCTAATGTTTTTGGAATGTGTTCCAAGTATGGGAGAGCCATGCTCCGGCACGAATGGACCAGCTCGGTCAGTGATACCAGGGTCTACCTGCACAGGTTTCACCCGCTTTTTCAACATCACGCTACGATCAATAGGAACTGAGTTGAGAGAGAAGGCTAAACCTTCCTCGATAAATGCACTATCTAACACAAAAACTATTAGTTACTATGTTTTTTCAGCTTACTCACGTAATTATTTGACGAGGAACTCGACTAGTTTCAAGACATGCTAGAGAAGATAGCAGCACGACAGTCACCGCGTCGCGGGTCGCGGAATGCTGCTCATGAATATGAGCCTCTAGAATGGCTTGAAACTAGTCGAGTTCCTCGTCAAATAATTACGTGAGTAAGCCGAAAAACATAATAATTAATGTAGTATGACTCTCGAAAGTTATAACACAAAAACTATTGTTCAATTTGAACCAGTGAGTATGTAGTACCGGAGACTAGCGCATTCAAACAAACATGCACACAAACTATGCAGCTGTTTACTATTATAGATATTCTCCTCTATTTATGAAGTATGCCTAATGGATAATGCAAAATGGATTATTATTTATTGTTTCAAATAATATTTATTAGTTGCGGATTAAGTTTATTAGTTCCGAATTAACAACGCTTCGCAACGTTGGTAGAGGTTGCAATGGACAGGCGACATCAAACTGCGGATTCGATTCCTGGAGCAAGCAAACCACTAGGCTAAGATAGGTGACACAAAATTTAGGTTTTCTCTAACCTATATGTGACACCTAACAAAACCTAACAGTTTAGTTTAGGTCCCCTTTCCGCTAAGTAACTTTTCTAGAGATGGTTAAGGGATAGGTGATGAAAATGGCCAACATAACATAACATCACGCCTTTTATCCCCGAAGGGGATGAGAATTTTTAAAAAACCCCAGTGACGCTTTGAAATGAAAATGGTATTTTAATAAATACCTACTTATTCAATAAACAATGTAATGTAATTATTCCAGGTGCGAGCACGGATGGCAGGAGCATCAATGGCGTTTTCCTTCTTTTGCAGTTCGATGACCGTTCTGTTCTACACGCCCATTGCGAACCAGTTTGGAGCCTACGTAGTATTTTATACCTTCGCAGCTGTAACACTATTCGGAGTCCTCTACACTATCCTATGGGTGCCAGAAACCAAAGGGAAAAGCTTAGAAGAAATACAAAAATATTGGAAAAAGACTGAGCCAGTATTTGTGTGAAGTTGTAGACTATAATATATTTGAGAGTATTATTTGAGACATTGGTTTAAGGTACACATTCCCTTATGTAGTTTTATTTATGAGACAGGGACGATGATGATGATGATAGATGGAATCATTTACCTACGTCTTCAATTGAGTACTTGCCGTAATCAAAAATAAATTATTTCGACTGTTTAATACAATAAAATATTTAAAACTAATCACATTTTCATTCTATGATTTTATTACCAACTTAATTTTAGTATTTTTCCAGCAATTTTTTAAGTAATAAGTATCAGATAAGTGACGACACAATACACAATCTTGTTCAAAAATCATAGAAAACTGTTTTGACAGTTTGTAAAAAAAGTATTGAATTTGACTAGTTGGCAAGTACCCAATTAAACAATTGTATATTTACCTTCCACATTATTTTACAAACACATGTTTTGTGTTAATTACAAGTCCATATTTTTCTATACATTATAAAGAAGACGTGGATAGAATTTTGTCATCTTCCCAATTGCATCTCTTTTCGTTCAGAGCTGGTAAGAATCTGAGAGTATTCGAACAGCTCCTGGCCAGTATTCTTCTGTAGATAGTAGGAAACATCTTGAAAATGTGGAACAATTCCACTTCCTCTTTCCTCTATTTAGCAGTTAGAAATATTTACATAATTATTTATACAAAATATTTAAGCAATATTGTATTTTATCCTTAGATAATATAATACATTTAAGAAAAAATTTAAAATTTCTCAAATTTCGAAAAACATTGAAATCTCATTTCAGTATTTTTATTATTTTTCTATTGTTTTAATATAAGTGTCCAAGTCTACTTCAATTCGTTGTTATAAACGAGTGATAAAGGTGATTTATTGTATAAATTAAACATTTACTTGTGAGAACAACTTTTGCACATGTAATGGGTATATTTAAATAAAAAACGTAGTTATAATAAATTTATGTCTATTTATTGTAATCAGTGAACGTGAACAAAACCTCTTAGCATTAGGGTTGTGAAAGGTAAACAGATTGAAATTAAAAATGTAAAACCACCAAGAAATGTGTTTATTATTTATTTTAATACATAACTACAGAGAATCACTGCGACAGTGGAGCGAGCGCTGTGTCGCTAATATTCATTTTTTTGGTACACCTTAAATAAAAATTTTATCGATAAAAAAGAGTTATTCCTTAATGTCGGTCTTGTACGAGTGGTATGGGCATCGAAGCGGAGCGGGGAACCCTATAGTGTACACTAAAACAAATAAAATGGTAGCAATGTCGTCACTTAGAATAAAATTAAATAATCTATATAACCTTATAATGTATCAACCGTCAGATCATACAGCAACTGTATTTAAGAACCTGTGACCTAGTATCGAGTTAGAAACAATAGTGCTTGTGAAACTACAGGGTCGATCCCTGACAAAACCCTACATTGATATTTAGAATAATATCACGAGAAATTAAATTATTTTTAGTTGACGAATACCTAAATTTAGAGGCCGGTCACTGAGATACGTAGCACGATCGTTTAATAGAAATACGCATAAAAATGTCCAAAACATTTCGATTATTTTGTACCTATCCACGAGAAACAAGTTTCAAAATACTAGTCCGCTTAACATTACATAAATTTATATATATATGTTTGATTAATAAAACGTGTTCACATTCGTATCTCAGAAAACGGGTCAAAATCGACAACACACATAATTATAACCTTAAAATTAGCCGCTACGATGACCACAGATTATAAATGTCCAACCAACATTACAAGAGTACCGCAGTCAACATTCATGTCCTCCAAGGAGGTCCAAACTATACAATAATATTAATTAAAAAAAATAAAGAAGACGCTCATCGACCAGCCGAAATGAAAATTAAAACTAAAAACAACGAATAAAACAAACATTAAGATATTAAACCTTATCGATTAACTTCTATAATACAGACTCTTATCTCTATGCTTAGATCGTTAGTCAATCCTGGAGTTGTATTCAAGACAATTCATAATTTTGTAACTCGTACAATTTGAAAGGCAAATCCTCAAGGTCAGTTTACACTCATCAGTATTGTTCTAAATCACATTCGCGAAATCACATTTACCTAAGTGCAGTGTAAACTAAACTTTATGTACGATGACAATACGTTACAATTTGATTCACCGCCAATTTGTGAGGTCTTGATTACTTATGTACCTAAGTATGTATAATTTACGCGTGCATATATAATGCCAAAGGATTTGAATAATAAATTAACTACGAGTGTCAGTTTATTTTGCAATATTATGCGAAGGTCATAGGAAAGAAATGTTGAGCAATTTATTGTTATGTTCTAAGTAAATTATACATGAACACTTAGGTACATAGGTATCAACCTCTATTTTAGTATATAACATTCAATTTAAGGTATAAGAAATACCTTTTGGTCGACATAATTTGGATAACAAAGACATTCCATTCCATTTACATATTTTACACGATTTTAATATTGTTTTATTACTGTAAGCTCGACTTAAAGTACGTATATAAATCAATTTTATTGCACTATGGTTGATTTTAAAAAGACATGTAGACATGAAACTGGCTGTGGATGTGTTTATAAACATATCCACCGATTTAACAGGGTTACCATAAAATCCTAATTTTCTTGTGTAGTTTTATATGTTTTGTATAATATTTAAATAATTTAAACGACAATGAGTACAATAAATCGAGCTTCCATAATAAATGACATTATAAAGTGTAGACATTATTATTATTTGATAAAAATGAAACATAAATATATAGATTTACTATAACTTATGAGAGAATGTCTGTTTGTCTGCAATATATTGATCTAATACACAATGATTTAATCAAAGTATTTCTATTAAAAATCCGTAATTTGTATTATTATAATAAAAAATAATTATTGATTTATTTACATATCCATAATCACTTTCGATTTTATTTTGCTATTGGTCTTGACGTGAGATATATTTGAATTGTTAGGAACAATATAGATTAGCCATAGGACGTCCACTGCTGAACATAGGCCTCGACGAATGACTTCCAGAGGGCCAAGCACGAATAACTATTGCATTCGTATCGTAACAGTATCGAGCGAGTTAAGCGTTCTGATTGGTTGGTTCACTTGAGCCGGCCAATCAGAGCGCCGAACGCACTCGATACTATTACGTTACGAATGCGATAGTTATTCGTGCTTGGCACTCAGATAGGCCGGTTGGAAGCGGCCTGGGTCCAGTAGCTCCCTGCGACCTTTATCGGGTCCGACAACCTTATTATAACGTCCACCGCCAGCTAAAATAAGTTAGTTTAACTGACATAGCTAAGAAAATTGTTCATACATATGTCAGCTCTGTGGTGAAAACTAAACGCTATAGTTTCCACCACAGATGGGGCCCAATAGAGCTGATGGCGATAGAGAGCCGCGGAGGACTTAACGGATTGCCGGGGCTCCGGCTCTAAGTGCAGGGGTAGGAATGGGGTGGTTGGTTTTTAGTCAGTAAGAGTCTGGCACTTCATTGGATGATTTTCCCCCTGAATAAAAGCGGTTGGGTTGTGATGCGCACACTAACTTATTTTAGATGGCAGTGAACGTTCGGGTTTTTGGTGGTTAAAACAAAATATACTGAGTATTAAAAATTGGCTTGAAGGCACTACATACTAAAAATTAATGGCAAATAAAATAGATAATTAATTATTGGCATAAATTATACAATAATAAGCGTAATATAAATCAGAATATTATTAGGATTATAAATGAAATCAAATATTTGAATATCTCACGTCAAAACCAAAAATAATCAAAGTTACAGAAGTAACGATCTTTTGGTAAATGAACGACGTTTTCCGTTCACTCGTTCGTTGAATGAATGGTAGTCTAGTTCATTCGTTCATTAGTAGGGTGTATACAAGTAGCCAGTCTTCATAGGGTTAAGCTTATAAATACTTGACTGAGTTTTGTCCTAGATTCAAGCCTAAACAGACAATTTTTAGAAAATGTTGCCATAAAAACATGTTATGGTTTTTTTACTAAATTCTCTTTGGATTTAGGAGAAATAGTTTAAAAATGTATGGTCTTGGCGACATTTTACATTTATAAATGTTACTGTTTGGGCTTTAAATTAGCTGTTAATTGACGAAACAGACCTTGTGTGGTAGCTTTAAGCCATAATGAAAGTATATGAGAGTATTTTATTAAGACTTAGACTGCCAATAAAAAACTGTTGAAGGTAAATCCTCCGCTAACGCCGGTCACCGGTAACCCCCATGGCGTTTCACGTGTTAAAATTATGAAATGAAAGCAATCAGTAAAAAGCATTATCAAACAAACAAAAATCATATGGAAACGAGATATTTTTACCACCAATGAAATATATAAGTACATGGTTTTTCATTATGTAACCCTATATGTCGCATTGTATGTTCAGCGATTACTCGAAAAACATACTATTTTTACTATGTAATATTTGTTTCTGAGAGCTGTTTCGTCAATATAACAGCTAAATTTTCATATTAATTAACATTACAACGTTCGATCACCATCTTGTATGAGATTTGTATGATTTGTGTACAATAAAGTGCCAACATCGACGATAGATAACCTTGACACAAAACTTTTTGGATTTTATAAAAATTTTATTTTGGTCTTTTTAGAAATTCATTCAAAAGGGACGCTAGGGCGTGATTTTTTCATACATTTTGTTTAGCAATAGATCTTATAGTTCTATTTACCAATTAATGCAACATTTTGTTTGAAAAATTGTATGACAGTTTTTATTCATAATCTTTTATTTTATTCTTAACCTAATTTTCGCTGTCTTGCTAACACGATTATAACCAATTTAATAAGAAATACGAAGACGTATTCATACATACATTTAAAGGTAAATATGACAGTAATCAATAACAATTGACAGACCAATTTCCAATTGTCATACACAATTCACATTTGATTTTGTTTACATACAATTATCATAACCGACAATCTAAAAAGCTGATTAATAAAAAAATTCATACAAATCTTTGACAGAGACGAATTTAAACTGTTACATGATGCAGCAGATGTTTTCTCCTATATACAATATATCAAAATTTTTCAAATGCCATCTAAAACTGACAGTTTGCAGTGAAATGTCATGTTTGACAGGCGTCACGGTTGACGTTGACAGGTAGTTGTCAAAGTGACGTTAGTGAGGTCAGGTTATCTATGTCTATGGTGGTAGTTACTCGCCGGGCGCGCTCGATGGTCCAGCGTGCGGTCCGTTTCAGTCGCTGACCGCGCGCTTTGCTTGAGGCTCTTCTAATTCCGTTTCAGGTGGATTCTCTAGGCCTGGCAGTTGTATCTGTGTGTCTGACGCTTCTGAGGGCTGGAGAGAAGAGAGAGAAGATTCAACAATTAGTTTGTCATATAAATAAACTACTATAACGATCACATGACAAATTCTATAGGAAAGGGATTTACAATAAGCATTCGCAACAGTTATTCTGTTTAAAAACACAACGACGTGGAATAATTCTAAACTAATCTGCGAGCATTATATAAAAGACGTTCTTTTCAAACCATAACAACGAATTAATATTAAAGGCAAAACAACACTAATAAAGCCGCTTTACGATCACAGCACCCGAACAAAGGCCGTCATTAGTAAATGCTCGTAGATATTGGACTATTTCTAACAAAAACATAAAAATTTAGAACAAAAATACTTACATTTGTGATCATTAGAGAGATATTTAAAATACTATGGTCTATAGAGTTTACCTTTGCGTCAATACTTCCGGACCGTCCCACAGTATGCTTGGAAAACATTTTACAATGTAAATACATATACTAATTTAGTTTCAAGCGTTGTATGAACAATATAAGCGTATTTACATATATATTTTGTTATGTAAAGCTTTGGTTAGTGATATAATGGTGTTATTCAGTCGTGGTTTAACCTTCCAGCAGTCACATTTCAGTGGCTCAGCGGTAAAACATTTTATAAAGTACTAAGGGGTAGTATTATTAGCACCACTTGTTAACTATTAATCCGTCAGGTATTTAGATTCGACCACATACTTAACTCCTTACAGGCAATTTACAGTTTTTGATAACATATGTGTAACATCGCGCCATTTATACCAGAAGGGTTAGGCAGAGTTGCATATTACGGCACTTAATGCCACTGTACAATGTAACACCCACTTTTCACTATTTATGTAATGAGTCCCATGTAATAGGGGGTGAGCCTATTGCCATATACCGGGCACAATTCTAGACTCCGTGCTACAACTGAGATTTTTTTTAAAACCCATTAATATTTTGTTTTTGATAACTACCTTGAAGGTACAAGTGCCATAATTCATTCATAAACTGTGTAAGTAACATTGATTCCACAATCTACACAATTTCATTAAATATGATATCTCTCTATTAATACAATCAATGCTTTTTTTTTTTTTTTTTAAGGGGGAAAATCATCGAATGACTGCTCCCGCCTGGGTGAGGCGGAAGCGAGTGTCAGACTCTTACTGACTAAAAACCACCCCGTTCCTTCTCCTGCACGTCGAGCCGGAGCCCCGGTTACCCGTTAGGTTCTCCGCGACTCCGAATCGGCATCGGCCCTTCAATGCATAGCACAGATTAATACTTCGATGAGACTCAAGTGACCACTGGCAGGTTAAAAAGGTGTTTAGCTTAATAAATATAAGGTGTATTATTGAATGCAGTATTGTATACACACGATAGAAAGTATATGTCCAGGGTAGATGACAGATGAACATGACGCAAGCTAGAAATATCAATGTCAATATGATCAGTAGGATTAAATCACACAAGTGGGTTATGTAGATTGGCAATGTTGTTTTAAAAATAAAGTTGTAATATATTCTCTTATAGAAAGTTATAACTATTAAATAAATTATTATTACTAAATAAATTATTCGCGAGATATACTAAATTAATTATTATGTTTTTAGTACCCAGAAGGCTGGCAGCATTGCCATTGACGTCGATGCGGACGAATTTTTCGATGCTTTAAGTAAATGTTGTATATATTTAATTTAGTAATAGTTAGTTTTAACTTTATTCAGGTTTTTATTTGAATCAATGATTTTGAATTACTTTATGTTTTTCAGCTTACTCAGTTAATTATTTGACGAGTAACTCGACTAGTTTCAATCCATGCTAGAAGTGCATATTCATGAGCAGCATTCCGCGACTCTCGCAATGCTAGTTACTTACTACGTAATTTTCTCAGTAATGTTTTCAGTTGTTTCAAATATTTATCGTCATAAATGGCCTATGTCGAACTTTTAAAAACGTTTGAAATAGAATAAAAATTAGTGCAGCTTCTGTTCTCGATTTTGGCGAATAATGAATATCGTAGAAGAACATTTTGACACAAACAAGCACGTAATATATATTTATTATAACGATACATTTAAAATAATAATAAATGTGTTTTTTTACGAAAGTACACTTATAGTATATTATACATATTGCAGTGTACAATTATATACCAATAGCTGGACTTTTTCATCACTTTTTTATCCTAGCTTTAACAGAATATATTCCATTTTTCAAATTGCCAATCTACATACGAATGAATTATGAATATACAAAATCCCAGCACCACACAAACACATAAATGAACACAAACACAAAGTCACCTCAATAGCGATAACATGAATACATACATAAATATGTGATACCAAAGCCAGGACCAACGAAATGAAATATATCTTCAACTATAGAGTTAAATTTTATGAACATAAAGTTATTTTTATTTGGAGACGAAATAAAAAACGAAATAAATGTAAGACTGGTAAGTTCTGATAACCAACCTTTAGAAAACCTAAAATCTTGCGCTTTTGGGATCAGGAATTTGAGGATTGTTATGGATTCGGGGAGACTCGGGAGGGTCAGTAATTAGGCCTCCTGTAACCTCACGCACACGACGAAACACAACGCACTTGTTGTTTCACGTCGGTTTTTTGTGAGCCGTATTATCACTCCGGTCGAGCCGATCCATTCGTGCCGAAGCATGGCTCTCCCGCACTTAAAACTCCCTGAGTTTGTTTCTTTACGTCTTCTAGTAGTAGTTGGATAGAAAATATCGGTTCCATCTTGTTAATTTTGACATGTATCTATTTTGCACCTTATTTACTTAGGTATAATTATCATTCCTATTTACAACCTAAACGAACACCTACCAAACCTTACGTTAACTCTTTTCATTAAAATCTTTTTTATCAACTTCAAACAAAAACAAACTTTACGCAACTATAAATAAGGCATACATTTCAATTTCGTTGGTCCATATAAGGTGTGTGTGTGTAAATAACAATATGGTTTCCTTGCTTACCTCAACGTCATTGGTGTTCTCTCGTTCAGTGATGGGGCGCGGACTTCTTGGTCCGAGGGACGTTTGGCTCGCCTGCCGCTTGTTTCTTGGGTTGGAACTGTTTGGGAAAAAGGATCTTAGTTAGTTTTAAGTTATATATTATTACTAGCTACTTCGGTTTCACACGCTCTGCTCGCTCAGCTCCTATTGGTCGTAGCGTGATGTTTTAAAGCCTATAGCCATCCTCGATAAATGCGCTATCCAACACAAAAATAATTATTCAATTCAGACTTGTAGTTACGGAATTAGCGCGTTCAAACAAACAAACAAAAAAAACAAACTCCACTTTATATAATAGTATAAAAGACATCAAGTAACGCCCGAATTCTAAAAGGCTACTTAATTTTAACCTCTATATGCATATAAGACACAATAGAAAACACATTGTGTCTCGCATATATCTTACGTTCATATCGTGGATCAATGCGTACTTAAATATCGTGCCATCTGTCATTTTACTCTGAACTATACTTAAGCGCGTCTTAAAATTGAGGGACGGTTGAGTATTTGGACATAAGTACCTAGTTGAGACAACTGATGAGACATGCTATTATTGTATGTCTAATATATTTAGATTTTTATATTTATCCAATATGTTTTAGATCGATATATTTAAAATTTTAATAAACGCGAGTAATCACATAAAAATGATATGTTTTATCACCTCTGATTTCATGGCAAACAGTTAAAATATTGAATGATAGAATAAATCAAGGCAGTTAAGAACTACAGTGAGTTTTAAGTCAAGAGATGAATAACTTTTTTTGTACTAATATTATAAAGAGGAAAAACATGTTTGTTTTCTCGACCCGAAACGCTATGATTACTAAAACTATTTTTTTTTTTTCACTATTATGAAACTACATTATAAAGAAGTAATAGGCAATAACCCGTGTGAAACCGGGACGAGCCGCCAGTAATAGCTATAAATGAAGTTTGTATAACAGACCTGTAGTTCGGGCGGCAGGAAGACGCGCGTGTTGACGAAGTACTCCGACTGCGGCGCGAAGTACATCCGCGGGATGCGCGCGTCCGACGGGAACTCGCGCAACTCGAAGTTCTGCGACCGCGCCCAGATCACTGACATCGCCAGGTCACATACCGCCCACAGTTTCTGGACACATAAATAAAAAATTAGTTATCATAATAAAGATTTTTAGTAACGATTGTACTTAAAATAGAACTTGTACTTAAAAAAAGTTAGGTTAGTCATAACTTAATTAGGGATCAATGTAAAATATCTGAATGCCAAATCCATGTTATTTGTCAATAACTATCTACTATACCTTCTCATAGAACTATGATAATGAAGTAAATACTATAAATACTATTAACACTTCACTTAATATTTTTTTATGTTCTAGACATTAGAACACACCAATATGAATTTAATTAGAATCTAAATGAAGTCTACTACATTTCCATGGGGTAAATGATACCAAGTTTATATTATACTTACATAATTAACAGCATCGTCAGTCTCACAGAGCGCGTCCTTGTGCAGCTTCATGCGTTCGACGAGACTCTTGTAAACCCGTAGCAGTAGAAGTCATTGCGCGTGATCAGAGGCTCCAGGATGAACCAGAGGCAGTTCTTTATCACCTGCGGAAATGCATAAATTTTTAGTTTGTTTTTGTTGTAGATAAATGGGTTAAAAATGTTCAAAAGTTCAAGTAATTTTTTACTTTAAATCAACAAAACAGAACATCAAGTTCTCAATTTGTTACAAGTTCTTTATTTAAGTGTATGTACAAACATAATTAAGAGTAACTATCAGAGGATAGTTACTCTTAATTAGACTCAGCAAATAACGAGGAGAGCCTCGTTATTTGCTGAGTCTAGTCGTTATACATAGCAATTACTACCGTTATCAACGTCTACAGAATTTCATTGATTTGATGTAGATTTCATTACTATATAATAGATAGAATAATAAGTCCCAAAATATTCGTCAAAATGATATAGTAGCTAATTTCTATATCGATTTAATAGAGAAGTTATTAGGTTTCTTTATAACAAAATCCACAATAAGAAGACAGAGTATACCTTGAGTTGCGCGACGTTGTCGTATGCAGTGAAGCTGGGGTCGTGCGTGAGTATGGGCACCGCGAACACCAGCATGTAGTCCGGCAGGATGTGCGGCAGCTGGCTCACGGCGCGCTCCACTGCGGGGGACATGGGCATTGCATGGATAGTACCATCACTTACTGGAGTTAAACAGGTGTTGGAACTGGATAGTTTTAAGTCAGTCTTCCATCTCGCAGGGTGGGGGAAGTTATTTGATGATTTATGATCCCTCAAAAGAAGTCCTATTACACATCTTATCAAGTAGACCAACTTATTTTGTTAAGAAGTATGTAACCCGTTTAATGCTCTAAGGAGACCACAAAATAAAACTAAAGGTATAATTCCAATGGCCTTCAAGAACCTTTCTGCCTCTTTGAAATCGGTTCTGCGAGATATTTCAAGCTAGGAATAATGCGTCCGACTATTTCTATTGTCAGAAAGTCATTGAGGAAGAGGCTTACATTCAGTAGTGGACTTCTTGTAGCTATGATGATGATGATTCCAGTGTATACATACCCTTGGTCCCTACAGTGATGTTCCTGACGTACTCCCTGCGCCGCACTACGTCGGCGAGCATGTACTGGCGGACCAGACTCCGCACGCGGCGCTCCGGCTCGCGCCCCGCCAGGGCGTACATACCCATGAAGTCTAGTGGGAGGCACTTGTTCGGGATACCCTGTGTAGAGAGATACGGTTATTTATTTAGGGATATATTGAAGTAGGATTCTTACTAATATTATAAATCTGAAAGTGAGTTTGTTTGTTCCACCTTCACGCCGTGACTACTCAACCGATTGCTTTGAATTTGTGCAGACGTAAAGTTAGAAGTCCGGATTAAATAATAGGGTACTTTTAACCCGGAAAAATTGATATTCCCGAGGAAAAACAAAAGTATTGGTATAGATGGCGCTGTCTGTATTGGTATATGTCACATAGGCTACTTTTTGTTTTTTTGTGACGCGAGCGAAGCCGCGGGTAAAAGCTAGTACTAACATAAATGATAACAGTTGTTATGTGTCTTTTAGTGAATTTATCCAACATCAGTTTTGTGAACAACGACTTCTACAATATTAAAATTAAAGTGTGTTTGTACAATTACCTTTGATAATCCCTTGTGTAATTTCGTGGCAAAGGCTTCTCTGACTTGTGGTACATCATCCTGAAATGACAAAATAAGTTTCAAATTTGATAAACTAAGAATTTCATCTGCAACGTTTAATTAATAGCTTCTAAAAATCTAGATTTTTTTCAACCTACAAACATTGATGTCACTATAATAGAATACTCACCACCATCAAATGTGAGAGGTTATAGAACTGTTCTGCAGTGAACTGGTCTCCCACTCCCTTCTGTTCACATATCTTCAACATGGCGGCGCCCGCGGCCAGGCGGAGGTGCGCCATCTCCGCTTTTGATAGACGATTTTGCTGCAATGGAAGAAAAATATATCTAATCTCTATAGACACATTGCAATCATTGATTTGAGAACTGCATAGGTCAAATTAATGAATACAACTTACATCAAAATCCGACCAGCTAATTGACTTAAATAGCGTAAGAAGTGGAGTGTTTTTTACTGGCGTGGCCTTCCAATTAGTATTCACTAAGTGGACACTTACTTAGAGCATCAACTTCAGATTCAACTACATATTAATGTATAACTTGAAGCGGAACAAGTTATTTTAGCATTAGCAAACGTTTTCAAAACAATTTGTATCCATATCAAAAATTACATTATAATAATAACTTGTAATAATACTTTTTGTGTGTCCACTACGTTTAGATAAAAATTGTCTAAAGGGCCTCTGCGCAGTTGGCTTCGGCGCCTCGTATACCTCCCTGTGGTCACGTAATGGTAAAGACTAATTTTAACAACACTCACCTGTAACAAGTCTCCTTTGTGTACGATAAAAGCGTTCAACATTCTGAAGGTCTTCTGTGCGGAGAGTTCATCCTTCTTCAGCCCTAGCAACCAGCGCGCCATACATTTGAGACCTTCCAGTTTGCAGCGCGTCTCCTCAGGCAGGTCCTCCTCGGAACACCACGGTTCATCAGGTACTGATGTACTGGACCCGCCCTCGCGGACTAGCAGCTCTTTTACAATCTAGAATAGGATTTGGTATTTAGTATGTAGGTGATAAGAGTGAAAATTATGTAGGCAAAAGTTTCTTAGAAAAAAAGGAAAGCCACAATTTCTTTGCATCTTGTTAAACGTTTTCATTAAATTGTCTAGCCATGGTTAAATGTAGACTGATTGCTTTTTAACATTTCTTTATTAGTTTTAACAAGCTGATGACCACAGCTTGTTAAAACTGTGCACTGACTTATACAGCGTTATTTTTCACAAAATTTTATAAAAACACATTTTTAGTATGCAGTACCTTTCTGGAGACAATATTCTTGATGTGTACGGGGAAGTTATCGGGCAGGTTGTGCGCGATGTGTCCGAGCGTGACGATGGCGGTGCGGTAGTGCTCGGAGTGCGGCGACAGGGTCGACTTCAGTGTCTCCAGGATTTCCGTGAATATCTGCGTCCTTTGCTCTGGCACGTTCACGAATAGACATCTGTGGGACAAACAATTTGTTAAGGCATTGGCTGCCAATAAAAAACTGTTGAAGGCACATCTTCCGCTAATGTCGGTCACCGGTGACTGCCATGGGCGTTTTACGTGTTAAAGTAATTATAATTGTGATATGTACTGGTAGCATAACACATTTGGGTCGTAAAACTACCGGAATTAGGCACAACTTATCTTACCTGACGGCGTTCTTGGCTTGTTTGGGCGTGCCGACCTCGGCGTATGCTTTGCACAGAGTGATCAGGCGCGGGAATAAAGCGGGACAAGCTTCACCTGGAAACATTTTCTTCATTTAGTAACAATTTTAGAAGGAATTTTTAACACAATACGCTGACAATATCTTCAACATCACAAAGAACAAACAGATAAAGAATTTACAAGACTAAGAAGTAAGTTTGAATGAGGAGACACTTCATTTGCCATTTCCATATTTTATAACCAGTGATGGGTGCTCAACACCTTACAAATCACATGTGGTATGATGGTAACTACATGCTTAATGCTTTAATTTACTAAATAGATTTACATGAAGAAGTTTTTAACTTTTTACCTACAGGTCCTATGTATTTTCGATCTGGATAAGTTCGGCTTTGTTTAATACGGTTCGAAAATCAAAATTATGACATTGTACTTACTAAGCGGCCTATATTTTCCTAGGAAGGTGAGTGCGGCTAGTATATGGGGCGCGATGGACTCGTCATCTAACTCCAGTAGAGACGTGAGGCGGTTCAGGATATCTTCGTGGAGGAAGTGGGAGGGGAACACGAAGGATAGCATCACCAGCAACTTGAGACCACGCTCTGCTGCTTTCTTCTCGTCAATACCTATGAAAGGACAAAACATATTATTACCTATAGATACCGATAATAAATATTTTATGGTTATTATTTAACATTAGAACTGGCTAATGATACATGTACAATAAAATTACTGCTTTACACGGAATAGTCTAATACGTTTTTTCTGAAGCATTTAACACCTATTGTACATATAACAAATTTTTACCAGGTAACAGACTTTGTTTAATAGAGGCTGGACCTTGCTTTACTCTTACAAATGGTATGAATAAAAACTTCATACTGAGAGTCTGTTACCATAAATACTTCATTCCCTTCTTGCTGGACTTTCGATTCGGCTAACGAAACAGTTAATTAATTTTGTTAATTTTTATAATAAACATACCACACTCCTCGGCCATAGAAGCGTCGGTTCCCTTGACGGTGGCCTCGACGTACCCGACCAGTATCAGCAAAGACTCGTGGTCTATCATCACGGAGCTCACTCGCTCCAGCAACATCTTCACTGTGTTGTAGTATAGGTTCGTCATTACTGGCTGACCGAGCTTCTTGAGTACGTTTGACTGTGGAAAAGGAAATTAATTAATCATCCTGATTATCAACTTTGTAAACAGCCCTTATACTACTGGTGGACAATTTTTTTTATACATTGCCCCACACTAGGATTTTCTCCTGTGTCGTGGGTGCGTTTACAAATATACAAGTTCACATACACATGACACGCAGACGTGGAATCACAATATGTGGATCACACTGAGAGTTGTACCGTGCGGGAATCAAACCCGCGACACGTTACGCGGCAGCCACTTGCTCAGCTACCGCGCCTACCGTGCAGTCAAACAATAGGTCTCCTCTACATAAAATATGAAGATGTACCATAATCTTCACTTTTGATATGCAGTTTATTTTGCCAGCCAGATTGGCTTCCATGAACTAACCAATCAGAGCGCGCAACGCGATATTGTTTCAATCTCGTTAAATAAAGAAAGATGCATTAGTCTCTGAACTTGTACAGGGGTGCAACAATATCAATACTAAACGAATTATTGCAGATCTCTAACATACAGTCCACCTGTAGCTCTGCAACGCAAGCAAGTAGGTCAGTAGGCACAGCTAGGTCACCTGCCAGATAATACTATCCAGCTTAGCGGTGTTTAATCACATTACTAACTCCATATTATAATGAATACAATGTCAAGAGTGAGTGTAGACAAGTCGCGACATTAATTAGAGCACAAAGAGGATATAGGATCAATAAAAACGTATAGATAATGTGAGTGTTGTCCTTTAAAAAATATATGATGTTATGTCGAACATAATCTTAGACTAAAATATTACGGAAATTCTGAATATATCTGTTAAATATCCATCTGCAAAACTGTAATAAAATAAAATGACATTATGATAGATACTCACAGTAGTACGGACGCAGACTTCGCAGCTGACGTTAGGGTTTAGTATGGTCTCCATCCCTTGCAGCAGCTCGGGCGCCTGTTTCATGTGCTGAGAGAACTTGTTCAAGAACTCTTGCGACTTCACCGACTCCGGCAAGAACTTCGAACTTATGTGTAAAACTTTAGCTATCATCTCCTTTTGTACAGCCGGTGTCGGTGGCTTTCTGTGGAGTTCTATCCATTCGCCCACTGTACGTCGAACTACCAACTGATGTTTCTGTAGTTCTATGAAGGCTTTTGTCGCATTATCGTCTACGTTTGACATTAAATAAAATAGTTTCTTCATACGGATCGGAGCCGGCAATGTGTATGGAACGAGGGATGTGTTTAACAGACGCTCAACAAGGAGTCTGTCTTCTAAAGCTGTCATATAGTAACCATGCAGGATTTTGTCTTTGATCCATTGGACTGCTTTCTCTGTGGCCGGTGGTACGCTCTCTTCTGTTAAAAACTTCTTGTAGATGAGTGCTAGGCCGGACATGGCTTCTTTTCGAATTTTGAATTTCTTGTCTAGCGTTCTTTCGCGGACGAAGTGGAGGAGGTCTTCGGACTCGGCGACGGCTTGGAAGTCCCTCTGTGCAGTCGCTATGATGGCCATGACGACCTCGTAACGCACTTGTTCGTGTGCGTCGTGTTGTCTTAGTTTTAATGTCTCTGTTATGTCTTTCCTCAAGTCTGGATGGTGTACTAGGAAGTGCATGCAGTATTGCACGCATTTGATTCTGATTGGTACTGAGATGTCGTTAAACCTGCCGAGGAAGGCTCGCCATAGAGCGGGGTACTGTTTGGCTAGTTCTGAGCCTGGTTCAGAGAACATTCTAGCAAGAAGTGCTACACCGCTGAGTCTCTCTGGGAACTGTGCGGACTTTAACTTGCACTCCAACTGCGGTAGTACTGACAATAGTAGGGAGGGGCAGCATTGATATAATTCGTAGATAAGCTCGTACACTTTTGAGTATATAAGAAGATTCTTTTCTTCTTTGCCGAGAATTAGAACGTGGTTGAAGAACTGTGGAAAAAAGCATACTTTAAAATAAGAAAAGAAAAAGCTATCTCATTAAAAATTATGAGCACACTGCTATAATGTGGCCCTAAATTAATCCATTAATAATCATGGTTCTCATATAAACGCCCGCTTTCATGTTTACGAGGCAATTATTTCATTAAGTGGCCTGTACTGTGTAACACTTTTACCAGGCGAACATTCTAGAAAACAACTTTACAAAATTAGATTGAAATAACCATATTTGCTCTGCAATTTGCAACATTACACCTTAACAAATAAAACACAATTTAGTATACTTACAGCTTGAATATAAGGTTCAAGTGTTTCACTGGTTTTGACGATTAGTTCCTTAGCGAGTGAGTACGCGTATTTGTGGTCGCGTTTGTTCGGCTCCACCAGGTTCATGAGGATGACGTTGAGTAGTTCGTTGGAGACCACGTCCGACTCCGTGATCAGAGGACATAGGACATCCAGCATGAAGGATTTCACTTTTGTGGAATGTTCCGTGCTGTGGACAAACGTTTGGAGTTAGAAATATTTCCAGTACTACTTAAAGGGAAGTTGGTATGAATACCTATTCATATCACCTGATACGCAAAGTATTTGTAATTCTTCGAATGGCTTTGCACTTTGTTACGTAACTCAAGTCATCGATAGTTACTTGTATACTGCAGCAGTTATGCAGTATCATAACTATATGTGATGTGTCGGCGTTTGGCCACTATCGCGTCTGGTGGTAAGCGATGATGCGCCCTATAATGAAGCACGTCTGCCCATAAGCAACCTATGCACCTTCGTAGAATAACCTGCAATTACCCCTTCGGAGAATAATTTATGGCGCATGGTGTTGTATCGTATATTGTTTCCATTTAGTACAAAAGTTACACAACTAATTTTTGAGGACGAAGAATCGAGATTAATATTATGAATACATAGAGATATACAAATCAATAGATTTGCTATAGTTATACAGAATTTGGCAATCGATACACGTAAAATATGATCACTAACAAATAGAAACTAGACCATAATTATACAACTAACAACAGTATTTCAATCCACATTCATAATATACGAATTAATTTACCTACACAGTTATAGCAACAAATACCTAATTGAACAAACGTAGCATCCCACACTGCATACAGAAGCCGTACATCGCAAAATAATTAAACAAACGAATATGATTTCTATGCACAACATTTCAAAGCCGCTTTTCCCGTGAAAGCCTTGTAAAGTTGTGAGGGAATGTTTCTAGAACCTTCCACAAATGAAGTAGATCGCAGATAAAGGTTTTATTCCGAGAACGCAGATATTTATATAAGTGAAATGAATAGTGCTAGCTGGAACAAAGGCTTTCAGCGATGTAATAAATCTGTTATTTAGTAATAAAAAAGCTTTGAGAGGATTTATTTTAATATAGTTGGCACGTTTTAAGTGCAATGCACCTCCATACATTCCCAATGGATTTTTTTTTTATTACAATTAGGCCAGAATGACATTTTTGATCGTCAACAAAACAAAAATTAAAAGTGAAGCTATTTGCTCATTCCAAGGTGTGGATTCCTATGGAGAAGAACGAGCAAGAAACTCCATAGGTTACTCTTTTTCAATCAGGTCCATCATCATCATCATCATCATAAACATAATGATGTTATTACATCGGACACTGTTGTCCATGTCTAAACTCTCTTTAAAGAAGGATTAGGTCATCAAAAGTTTATTTAGTTTACGGGGTGATGCCGCCCACCGTGGGTCACGGTGCTTGGTCGTAGTTTTAGTTCGAAAGTCAAAGTCAAAGCATTTATTTCAATTAAACCATAATTTGGTACTTTTGAAACGTCAACAAATACAAAATAAATAATAGTCTGTCAGTCAGTTCGTGAGTGAAGCTAGGTGAAGCTAGGTGCTCATTCATAGATTCGAATGGAGAAGAACGACCAGGAAACTCCATTCGTTGCTCTTTTCAAACCCAGTACAATAAAAATAGTAAGTCTGATTTTTGACAATTTACTAATCTTATTAAAGTATTCATAGTTAATGTAATGTTCCGTTATATACAAAATGCAGTAGGTATTTGCCCGTTGTTCCATAGATCTACATAACAATCAAGAACAATAAAGTTCAGAGCGCCTTATGAAGCATTTCTAGAATTTTCTCACACGTAGACTTTCAAGCTTTTTTGCCTCCGTTACCATAGAAACGGAATGTACACGAAATTCATTCCGCCCCTTGTGTTTTGTGGAGAGCAAACGGTAGTCGCTCCACGTAAAATATTATAATTTTGTGAAATTTGTTTAAAAATTTCGGTGTACACGAAGAAAATTTTGTAATAGGCAACAGAATTTCCAATTGGGTTATAGTGACATGGGATAATGACAAAAAACAATGTTTTGTGAACAATTCATGATCAATTAATTTCCCTGTGAAAAATCAAAGAAACGTTTTTACACTAAAACGTCTTGTATACAATTTCATAAATATTCAAACAACAAAACAATCCACGCCTTCATTAATAACGACACAGAAACTACGTTTTAATTAAGAAATCTTATCGCAACATTATTGTATTACATTATCAACAAACAGCGCATTACAAAATGATCCATTTGCACTCAACTATTATGTCAGATCTAAGGACTGAGATAACTTCTTTGGCATGTCGAGATAAAGTATCAAGAAAGAAAAACTAAGCATTCGTGTGTTGTCGCCATCAGACCACCACAGATGGGCCCAGTACCAATAGGGCTGATTCCCGCTTTTTTTTAAGGTGGGAAAATCATCGAATGACTGCTCCCGCCTGGGTGAGGCGGGAGGGAGTGTCAGACTCTTACTGACTAAAAACCACCCCGTTCCTTCTCCTGCATGTCGAGCCGGAGCCCCGGTAACCCGTTAGGTTCTCCGCGACTGATTCCTGCTACGAAGCAGCGAAAGGCCTAACGGGTTACCGGGACTATGGCTCGAAGAGCAAGAGTAGGGGGTGGTTTTTAGTCAGTAAGAGTCTGAGTCTGTGTCGTGTGTTCAAGTATATTATTTTTTATTTATTTCTGGGATAGATTGCTATAAAATCTGGACCTGGTTAAATGTTAATAAATTACCGTAAATTGATTGCTTGATTCCACTATCTGTAACGATCAATTAATTGATTATTCGCCATTACTGAAGCTAAATGGCTGTACGTGCTCACTGAGCCGCCGACATTCCTCGTAGCTTTATCGTGGTTTTAAAGTCTTCACAATTAATAAATAAGTACATTAAACATTTTCAAAAATATTAAACAAATATCAGTATAACAGCAATCAAAATATCCGTTCAGAAGTTTTTGACTCGCAACACAAATTAACGACAGTGTTTATTTTTAACAACTATTAAAGGACTAATAAGGATAAGACTTTCTTTCTAATTAAGAGACCTTTAGCTCTTGCAAACATCCGATCCGGATGAAAAGTGTCGGATGTAACAGCGTTCGAGTTTAAATATCCGGTTAAATCAAAGATCTCTCTGCTATAAATGTTTACGTGTTAAGCCTTCTAGCTATTTATTGAGAATCAATTGGACCCTGTTAAGCAGAAAAGATCCAGCCCACATTTTATTACTTTTGAGTAAATGAAGTTTAGAGTAATCATAAATATGGTATTGCATATGTTCAGCAGTAGACGTCCTGTGGCTGATATGATGATGATGATGATTATCTACTAGCTTCTGGCCGCGACTTCGGACGCGCAATCCCGTTTCTCCCATTCCCGTAGGATTTTCAGGACTTTTTTCTGTCATAAGAACCTTCTCCTGACGATAACAAACACAACAAAAAAAATCAGCGAAATCGGTCTAGCCGTTTTCAAGTTAAGGCGTGACGACGGGAAACGGGTTTCATTTTTATATATATAGATTATTTATTACTATTATCTGCCCAACATTAAACTTCATTTACTCAATAGTAATAAAATGTGGGCTGGATCTTTTTTGCTTAACAGAGTCCAATTATTTTGCAACACCATGTACTACACGTCAAGTTATGCAGAACCAGTATAAACTGACCGTAGAATATGATGCAGGGCTATACAAAAGCGAGATCACGATATACTGGTTAGGTGTAGGTTGATGTGCACAATGAACATGTATTGTTCTGTTGGCGCAGTGACCGAGCAATCGGCTGTTACGTGACACGGGTTTAAGCACGCAACATTTGTTTACAAGATTTTTTTCGGCCCTGCGTGTTGAGTTGGAAAAATTTACATAAAAAAGTTTTATAGAAATATAGAGAAAAGAGATCTTTTTTTATCTTTTAAAAAAATACGTTGCCCCACACTAGGATGGTTTCCTGTGTCGTGGGTGCGTTTACAGATATACAAGTTCACATACACATGACACCCAGACCCGGAACAACAATCTGTGGATCACACAAAGAGTTGTTCCGTGCGGGTATCGAACCCGCGGCACGTTGCGCGGCAGCCAGTTGCCCAACCACCGCGCCAACCGTGCAGTGCAGATAAGTACCTACCACACTGTTATTTAAAATTTTGCCAAAATGACTATACATAACGTGACCAGACGTCCCGTTTTGATCGAGACTGTCCCTTTTTCAATTACGAGTTCTGTTGTCCCCGAAATGAGCTCTGAGATGCTAAATTGTCCCATTTTCGGAAACCACGAGAAAATTTGAATGGTCGAATCTATTCGACGACTGTTCGGAGGGCTCGAATGGTGAGCGAGAGCGATACATCATACATAGGTAGCTAACTAGCAAATTTTTGACGAAGTATACACATAAATAAGTATACACATATTTTAGTTTTAAGTTCTTTCAGTTATTTTATATTGTTTTGTATCTGTTGCATGTATCATTTACACTGTGTCTTATATTTAATTTCCTTTTCCTGTCGCAGGTCTGCAGGAAGAAATCCCTTAAGGGATATGCAGTACCTATGTACCTCATACTTGTAATGTGTCGTCCTTTGTAATATTGTCTGTGTGGTGTAGGTATATGAAATTATAAATAAATAAATAAAAAATTTAAGTACCTACATTTTTATCCAGTTAATACTGTTAACATTTTTGATGTAGGCACAGCCCTAGGTTCTATAATAGGATCTAGCAACTAGATGCCTGACTGAAACTAAATAACGGACGTCCCATTTCGAGTCAAAAAATAAATAGTCACATTAATTATACACACTGCACTGTCACAAGTCAATTTCACTTGGTTTGTCTTGGCAGGCTAAGTAAAGGAGAAATTAGCGCGTTCTTTTATGCTTACCAAGCCATGGACGATATTTATACGTGCTAAAATTAAAACCTACACTAACTTTTTCAGTCAAACTTTTAACTGGTCACGAATGTATTTTTTTATTTATTTTTTTTAAACGTTGTCCCACACTAGGTATTTCTCCTGTGTCGTGGGTGCGTTTACAAACATACAAGTTCACACACATGACACCCAGACTCGAAACAACAATTTGTGGATAACACAAAGTGTTGTTCCGTGCGGGAATCGAACCCGCGACACGTTGCACCGCAGCCGGTTGCCCAGCCACCGCACCAACCGTGCAGTCGATTATACTGAAATGCTTAAAAACCAAAGCAAAGAAGCATACTTTAACCCTTTGAGTACCGTCATTATAGACACAATCAAAGAACAATAGGTGTGCGGACACCGGTATCCTCGCGATGTTTGACAGTTTTAAAATTGAATTTCTAAGAAAAGGTGGTTAGCTACATTGACCAGTAAAACTGAAAGAGTGAAAACTCCAAAGACTTAATTAAACTTCAGTTTAAAAAATGTAATACAACTAAGGTACTTACTTAACAATCTTGAACATAAGCGAGAAGAGAGCGCAGAAGATCTCCTGGCAGTCTTCCAACTCGAAGCACATGTTGAAAGACTTGACGTACGCCAGGTTCTCCAGCAAATAGAAGTAGCGTTTGAACGCCGGGTCCTTTGGGTCGCGGAGACCATTCAACTGGTTGATCAGGAACAGGAATATTGTCTTCACCTAGTAAAAAAATTAAAAAACACATATAACATCACGTCTTTTATCCCCGAAGGGGTAGGCATAGGTGCATGTTAGGGCACTTCATGCCACTAAACATTCAATGTAACAATCACTTTTCACTATGTATGTTATGAGTTAGCTATTGTCATATACCGGGCACAATTCCAGACTCCGTGCTACTACTGATTTTTTTGTAATTCCAGAAATACTTGGCTTGTTCCGAAAATCGAACCCAAGATCCCTTGCCCGGCACGGCACGGCCTGCTTTGTTTGATTGTCAGTTATGTTATTAGCTTGTTAATGTCACTACAACACTACTGATACTGAGTACTACTGAGTATAAGTTATTACGGCATTTTACTAACTACCATCAGGTGATCTGCCTGCTCGTTTACCGGTTTATCCCATAAAAAAGCTAGATAAACAGACGTGTTACTGAAGCCGATTGGGAAACACCCATTCCTATTTTTATACCAAAAAGTAGTAAGATAGGTAACGTGTTCAAAAATCAAATCATATTAAGTAGGTAAGTTATCAAAAGTTTCTAAGCAAGCAGTAACTTGCGATATCCAATTAAAGTTAAAAGTTTTTCCTTACTCGTGAATCGTGTTAAAAGGTTTCCCTGAGTTCTCCGTCCGTCCATATTCATGAACATGAATAAATATCAAAGAACTAAAAACGGCGCGATGTTTTGTGCGATCTTTTACTGGGAAAATGTGTGCGTATGTAAAATGAACTGCTATATAAAATGAATAACTTACTAGTACAAAGATCTATGTTTGTAACCTTCTTATTCTTACTGAAATGTGCGATTACGGTACAAATTCGTCCGCCATTTTTGCAACACTTACTTATACCAAATCTATTTGTTTTATCAAATGTCTGTAATGAAGCAAACGCAGCATAAGTTGATTAGACGCAGCTTAGATTAATCGAGGTATAATTAGTCAGCGCAGTTGCTACTAAACTACATACTCAATCTACTCATTTCAATACGACTTACAAGTTGTTGCAACAACTAACTTATGTCGGAATACTCAAACGCTACTCAATTTTAAGTCGCGCTTAAATATAGTTCTTTTTTTTTTTTTTTATATATAATATATGTATTGCAATCTATCATATAGATATTCAGCAATATTTTTGTTAAATGCAGCAGACTTGTACGTGGGCTGTCCAGTGACTGCCCCGTTTATATTTACAACCTCCTAGATGAGGTCTTGAGGAATCTTTCTCTTTAGTCTTCTAGCGACTGTTTGGGTGTCCATCAGGTTTACTGCTAGCTTGTTTGGATGGCTTGTGATTCGGTACTGCAGCCTTCTTAGATATATCTCAAGCATTTGATCGTGTTTGGCATGACGGACTACTGTTCAAAATAAAACGAAACCTACCTATAAATTTCTACAATCTTATAAAGTCCTATCTAAGCGACAGACACTTTTTCGTGAAACAAAATGAAGAGAAAACTACCTTACATACTGTCCAAGCTGGAGTACCACAGGGTAGTGTAATGGGCCCAATGTTATATCTACTTTTCACAGCCGACCTCCCAATAACAGAAGGTGTCGTCACTGGAACATTTGCGGACGACACAGCTATCCTCTCGGTGGACACTTCACCAGACGTTGCATCACAAAAACTTCAGTCTAGTCTCGACCAAATATCGAAATGGCTCAAAGACTGGCGAATCAAGGCCAATGAAACTAAGTCTGTCCAGGTGTCTTTCGCAAACAAGAAAGGAACGTGTCCTCCTGTGACCCTAAACGGCATCCCTCTCCCACAAGAGGAATACGCCAAGTACCTCGGAATATATTTGGATAGACGCCTGACTTGGAAAAAGCATATATTTACCAAGCGGCTGGCTATGGGTCAACAGATACGCAAAATGCATTGGCTACTGAGTAACAAGTCTCAACTCTCTATGGAAAATAAATTGTTGCTATATAAAAATATAGTTCTGTCTCCACAAATTCTTTGTAAAATAACAGAGATGGCACGATATTTAAGCTCGACTTAAAATTGAGTAACGTTTCAGTAGCATCAACTTGTTAATTTAGTAAATCTACCACCGTGAGAAATTTTCTTAAGAACAAAGGAAAGCCTGTATGTTTACGTCGTCCTTAATCTACCTCTGAGCCTTTCATCTAGATCCGTTCATCCGTTTAGGCATAATTGGCTACCAGACACTCATACATCTAAACTCTTTCAACAATATTAAGTCTCACCTGTTCCTGGTCTTTGTAGGGTGCCTCCGGCGCGTAGACTCGGAGTACATCAGCGATGCAGCATGCGATGAGCAGCTGGACATCTCTGGAGGGATGTGTGAGGAAGAACTCGTCGGCCAGGTGCAGCGCCAGCGGTATGTACTGCTGGTACATACCTTCATCTTGGCCGAGACCTTGTAATGTGTGGGCTAAGACCTGCAGACAAGAAAGGATGAGGTTATTATGATGGTACATTTTAGAAGAATATCAAGTTTGTAAGTAAATTGTGATGTCTCGGAGGTTTAAGACGTCCGCTTCTCATGCATAAGGGTACGGGTTCGAAACCTACCAACGGCAAGTACCAATGTATCTTTTTCAGAGTTATATGAACTTTCTAAGATTATTTAAACACCACTGACAAACGGTGAAGGAAAACATCGTGAGGAAAACTGGACTTATAATTTATAATTATAAGTTTGAAATCGCCAACCCGCATTGAGCAAGCGTGGTTATTAATGCTGTGCGAGAAGAGGCTTTTAATCAGCAATGGCTACTTATAGGCTGTTGATGATTGCAAGTTTCTAGAAGCCTGGTAGCGTGGTAACTTTGGAGATTATAAAATGAGAGTAGTGCAGAGAATGTGTAGCTTTTTTAAGCTAAAAGTGATGTGTGATATTTTAACGGGAGTACCGCTTACTACTTCAAAAAACAGTTTCCCAAAACGTTTCATCTAAAACCACATCACACGTAATTGAACAAATTGCAGTACACATAAAAGACTGCAAAACAGAACACCTCCTGCGTACAAAGTAAACACGACGGTAATAAAACAGCAACAAATATAAATAAAAACACTGAAGCTCCCTAGATCGATCCCGCGCATAAATTCACGTTGCGATGACCTAAATAAACTGGGCTAACCTTGATTGTGACAGGTTTAACTTTGTTAACTGCAGTTCCCCATCACGTCTCGAAGTAGGCCAGGTGTCATACAGACAATAGAGCAATTTGTTACAAGATTAGATCTCTAGATTCTTATGTGGACCTGGTATTGTATGCGAATGTGGGATGGAAAAACTAATTTGTTTAGTTTACTTGGTGACCGGTTAAGATTAGTCTGGCTCTAGAGGTCGCAGCGACTGTCGATTTAGAGCTCTGACTTCCGAGCTCGATTTCCATTTCGCAAAGTATTTTTAAGTTTTCCATTTCCAAAATTACGCTTTGTATTTGGCAACAGATTCTCCTTATGATGAGGTAATTAAATAGTTAAAAAACGTGTATGTAGTCTCATGTGTGTGCTCTTACAAAATGTGTAGGCTTTTACAATATCCACGGGAAGAGTACGAGTACGTAAGTCCGTAACCATGAGGATAAGACCCGATTGCCATCACCTCATAGGCAATTATTTTGCCATAAGTACCTTATGAAAATAATAAGAAAACTGTAAAAATGTTTTTCACTAAATATAAACTCATGTACAATGCAGGTATTACGAACAAAGCTACCTATATGAATTTGTGACCGCGAAGGCAGGTCGCTCGCACCACTGACGCGACGGTGTCAGAGTGGCTACATTGGGGTCACTTCCCCGACTAACAGTGGCACTATAATGACAGTTTATACAATGTAAACACGTATTACATTGTAATTGTAAACTAGCCGTTATATTAGTAAACAAACCATATTTTGTTATGGTTGTTCATGTTTTGTTACTTCTTTTCAATGACTAGTGATAAATATTGGTATGAAGAAGATAAAAGACTAAATTGCAATTAATTAAATCTCAAAGCGTTAATCATTAAATTAGAATGCCATATCAGTCATCGGTGCCTGACGCTAGTGGAAATTTGTTCGAGTTTCATCATTTTAAAATTGGTAGTTAAAGTATTGAAACTCAACATTTTAACTAACAGTGTGCTGGTAGACTATGACCCTCCTCAACATAAAATCGTTTTTGAAATCACCACGGTTGACAAAGGGTTGTCAAAAACGTATTTCAGTTTGTTAATTATTCGCTAAGAAGATTCATTTATACGAAAGCAACATTTCGAGCTAGAAGTACAAGCTGGGAGTGACAATATCTGCGAAGGGGATGGCACTGATAGGATACAATACAAAGCGATCAAGATCGAGATCGCTGGCTGTAGGAGAGATGTTCATTACCCAACGGATACTGTTGATAAGGACGATGCATCAAATCTAGAACACGAAGCTTCTGAAGTCTGCTCTGTGCAAATATTTCGTGACCAGACCATTAATACAATACAATAGTAAACATCTATCTTCAGTAGCTTACAAAAAACTTTGATTAATAAAAACATTAAACAAACAAGAGCCCGTTGATTAGTTTGTATCCGATATTGAACTTTCACACAATCAACACAAAATTCGATTTATGACTGATCTGACAATATACACTAATCACAAAAGTTTATTAACAACACAATCACCAATTGGGATGATGACAGGATTGACAGGGTATGAAAATTAAAAATCTAATTAGTCCGTAAGTTAGGTAATGAAAAAATATTAGACGAGTATTTTTTTATTTTGTCGTATAATAAAACAATATTTAGATAAAACGAATCAAAGTTCCCAGAGGAGAGGGGGATAAAACGTCATTTCTACGTATAAAACGTACATAGAAGTGACGTCACGCGACATTCAATATACCTATCGTCGAAAGTATTCGTTTCTGTAAGAAAATAAAAAATACGTGTCTAATGATTTAAAATTATTTACAAGACGAACATTAAAATAAAAATAAGGCATCTACCCTATTACAGCTACTCTATAACAATTTAAAAGAAAACAAAGCTTCATAATAATATTATTTTTATGCACACAAGATATATTTGTACGACACTGTTAGTTGCATCTATCTATCATACATTCATACGCAACGGAACTAATTTATCTGAGTGTATATTTAGAGCGGCAACTGAAATTACACGCACACATACCACGTCAACATCGAATATTAATTTCTTAGTTATTTAGCATGGTCCCATTAAAACATGTTTGTAAATAAACGTTTGTGACCCGGAAAGGTACCGGATCATTGTTGGTTGTCACGCTAATGGCTACAATAAGCTGGTATAAATACTAAAGAATTGTTTTATAACATCGCGCCTATTACATTACCCGTACCTATGTGTAGACAGACACAATCAGACAGACCAGATCAAACCTCAGAACACAATGATTTGTGAATCAAAGACCTAATGCTTATCAGCAAGACTAAATCAAAAAATCTATGCTACCATTGATAAAGGAAGAATGAAAAGCTCTACAACTCTATACAATATCCTATAGACCACTAGCTTTCACTCTACAGGGCACCAACAACAAACAAACATGTTATTAGATCTACCAATTAACCTACAACTACACGATAATATAGCCAACCCGCCAATCCCTAAAGACGCTTGTTATCTTATCGTGTACACCCATTGCTTTACGATGACGTCACGATACTTGATACACGAGAACGAGGCGAGCCTATTGCCCCAAGCCACGGATCCCGGTTTAACCTTGAAATTAGCACAGGCTAAGGCCCAAACCGCCTCAGAAATATGATCCGTTCAAAGCAAACTTAATGAGCAAACCAATGAAGCAAAATTGCGTAAATTAATAAGGGAAACTGGTTACTTACATTGGTCCAAGTCTCCGAAAGGCTAACAACCGACCACAATTGATTTACAATTATGACCTTTAGTTCAAGGTAGTTAAGAACCTCATTTTCATTAAGCACTTAGTAATATTCTTTTTATTTTCCACCTGTTATTGTTCAAGGAAAGGCGCAGCAGTAAAAGTTTATTAGTCAGTTTTAGAAATTCCCAATAAGTCAAAGAAGAAAAGAGATTAAAATGTGTAATAACCGGAGATAAAATTCAATTATGTAGAAGTTTCAATTTATGACTGCAACATGGCACTTGGTGCCAATATAGTGGCAGGGCTCTGTAAACTATTGCTTAAGTTAAAACGACAGTATAAAGATTCGGCGAACGATAACATTCAAAGCCAGGATAAGGTTAGAACTTTTTCACTGAACATTAGAATTGGAACATCGGACTCGTAAACCTTGAAGAGCTATGTAGACGTCTAGAGATCACTCCAAAATACTTTTCTTCGAAGAACTTATTAGAAATATAGACCTTAACCTATCGGAAAAAGATGTTTTATAGAATGCACTACCTGAACACAGGAAATGCCAGACCCTCAATTCAGTTTGAACCAATAACGCACTCAGTCTAAACCACAATGTATAGCTTGCGTTATTTTTATAATAAACGTCATAAAAAGCCGTAACAAAATCTCAGCTGGGTCATAAAACGAGACAAACGACTTATGAATTACATCGCAAGTCCCCGGGCGTTCCCGGGCAATCGATAAAAACTTCGTATTTAACGCAATCAAAATAGTCCGACAAACACATCACACAACTTGGAATAGTCGCAAGATTTGCGATATTAAACTTTATCTATAAAAACATTAAAGTTTGGAATAGTTATGATTATGACCTTGTTGATTTTCTAGCCACAGATATGACTGCAAATATCCTTATAACCTAAGGATTTTTTACGGTTTAGTTGTTTGATTAAAGCTATCCTAGTTTCGAAGGTAAGGTTAAAGACTAAACGGAACATAGTCAACGTAGATAGACGAGCCCTGGGAGCAAAAGCAAGTTATAAATCCAATAACAACGCAACAGAACGGACGTGACAGAGGATATTGCTATTAGCACGTAAGTGTACATTCAACTGCACACATTTCCTGCAAGTGGTCGGACTACTCTATTATTTAATGTTCCATCTCCCATTCTAGATTAAAATCTACATAATTATCATCTGTTGACAAGTCACCTTTTAAACAATTGTCTATTGACGAGGTCAAAGGTAATACCGCAATGAATACCGCTCCACTTCGGCTCTCAAACCCAATTGAGTTTCAACTGAAAAGCTACTCAACTTTAAGATGTTCTTAAAAGTATTTCTGTCGGTACAATATGCCTTAAAATGTCAAAGACACCTTGGAGCTAAGTTAGGTTTGTGTAGCATTTCAACGCTCAAGATTTTCAAATACTTTCAGGTTTGTACATACATAGTCAAGTCTATAGAAAATGGACTTGCATTTGCAATCTATCAATAAGAAAACATGTGTGGTATTTATTATCTGTAGACAAATGAAGACATTACATAACAACGGTAGCTGAG